TGCATATCTACACGTACGTGTGGGAAATCTGTGCTTCCAGTGTGAGCGTTTAAGTTTGCAACTCCTCCTTGACCCTCACCATCAGCATAAGTATAATACTTTAAGAAGCAGGACCGCATTCTCTGTTCCAAACACATGTTTGATCCATTGTTTTTGTGACGAAACGTTGTTGATGTTTTTTTCATGTTGTTGTGATACGTATTGTACCTTAGGGAGTTGTTGTTTATGAGATTAGATATGTTGAAGTAGGAATAAGACTTTGTGAACGCATGTAACATTCATAAAGCAAATACAACGTACAATTATACTTAATTATTGTAGCATAATAACAGGTTATTGTTGTAATAACCATAGTTATATACCCTCTCTGCTGTAGTTTGTGCATTTTTCTTTCCGGCGGATCGGGAAGCCAGTGATACACAGGTTCGTCTGCACCTGCCTCGAAGCGCTTCTCCTCTGATCCCCTGTCGACTCGGAACCCCCTCCCCCCCCGCCCCCCACCCCCACTTCCAGCTCCCTGGCGTGGTATGACTGGATGATCTGGGTGTCTGTGGAGTTGGGTTTGGAGGGATGTTGGTCGTGATTGAACCTCTTTGAGGTCAAACTAGGGATCGCTTTGGCTTTTCAGCATTGTTTTTATTTTTGTTCAGTGCCACTGGATTCGGCGTTGGCTCCCCGAATCTTCGTACCTCCTCCTCCTCCTCCTCCTCCTCCTCCTCCTCCTCCTCCTTCTCCTTTAAATCTGAAAAAGCGTCTGGGTTTCATCTTGACCTCACTCTGATCCTCGATTCGCAACGTGGTTGGCTTAGGGGTCCAGGATGCGTCAAGGCTTGCTTCTTGTGGTGCTCGCCACCGTGCTGGTGCTGGCTCGTGCCGCTACCCAGCAGTGCACCTCGTGGGAAAATGTCGTGATCGGCGGCAGTGACCTGCAACATGCCGAGCTTGTTGCCTCGCCCGGCCAGTGCTGCGACCTCTGCTATGCCAACGCCGACTGCACCATCTATACCTGGAATGCCACGTCCAAGACCTGCATTCTCAAGAACAAGCAGTCCGACAGCACCTCGGCGTACGGTGTCACTTCGGGCACGACGAACGACCGCACCATCTGGTCTCCCTGCATGGGCGCCTCCAGCTCCTACCCGTTTTGCGACACCAAGCTCTCCGTGGATGACCGTTTGAAGGACCTCGTTAGCCGCGTGAGCACCGCCGATGCCGCCACCCAGCTCCGAGCCCGTGAGTCAGCGCAGATCGACAACATTGGTCTGCCGGCTTACTACTGGGGCACCAACGCCATTCACGGCATGCAAAACACCGCCTGCCTGGCCGATGGCCAATGCCCTACCTCCTTCCCCGCCCCCAACGGCCTCTCGGCCACCTTCAACTACAGCTTGGTCAAGGACATGGGCCGCATCATTGGTCGCGAGCTCCGCGCTTACTACAACACCAAGTTCCACAACGGCCTTGATACCTGGAGCCCCACCATCAACCCCAGCCGTGACCCCCGTTGGGGCCGCAACGTTGAGTCCCCTGGCGAGTCCCCCTTTGTCTGTGGCCAATACGGCGCAGCCTACACGGAAGGCCTTCAGAACGGTGACGACAAGGACTACACGCAGGCCGTCGTCACCCTCAAGCACTGGGTGGCCTACTCGGTTGAGGACTACGACAACGTCACCCGCTACGAATACAATGCCATCGTGTCCGAGTACGATCTCATGGACACCTACTTTCCCGGTTGGGAGTACGTGGTCAAGAACGCCAAGCCCCTCGGCGTCATGTGCTCTTACAACAGCCTCAACGGCGTTCCCACCTGCGGTAACCCGGCGCTCACGGCTTACTTGCGCGAGGATTGGGGTTTCGAGGGCTACATCACCTCCGACTCTGACTCGATCCATTGCATCTGGGCCGATCATCACTACGAGTCCAACGCCGTCCTCGCCACCCGCGATGGTCTTCTCGGTGGTTGCGACATTGATTCGGGTGACACTTATGCCGATAACCTCGAGGCCGCCGTCAACCAAAGCCTTGTCAATCGCTCGGCCGTCGATGCCGCCCTCACCAACTCGTACCGCATGCGCTTCAACCTGGGCCTCTTTGACCCCAACGTCACCAACGCCTACGATCGCATCTCAGCCGATGAAGTTGGCATGAGCTCATCCCAAGAGACCTCCCTTCTCGCCGCCCGCAAGGTACGTTTGTTTATTTTTTTCTGGCTTCGGGAAGTGTTGACTTGTTGAAACGGTGTGTGCTTGCACCAGGCCCGTTGTGTTTGAGCCGCGCAAAAGGTACATTGAGTGCACTGCCATTTGCCATTTCCTATCTTTAGAGCATGACTCTTCTTAAGAATGATGGGCAGACGCTGCCTTTTGCCACTGGCAAGAAGGTGGCCGTCATTGGCAAGAGCAGCAACTCGGCCGAGGACATTCTCGGCAACTACGTTGGGCCCATCTGCCCCAGCGGTGCCTTTGATTGCGTTCAGACCCTGTATCAGGGCGTGGCTGCTGCCAACCAGGGTGGCGCCACCACGCTCTCCGACGACGTTGCCGACATCAACACAGCCATCCAGCTGGCCATGGACGCCGACCAGGTCGTGCTGACCATCAGCAACTACGGCCAGGCTGGTGAGGGCAAGGATCGCACCTACATTGGCCTCGATACCGACCAACAGGAGCTCGTTGCTGCCGTTCTCAAGGTACGAATGCCTCTGGATTGCCCCTGATGGCACCGCTGCTTCACCAAACCAAGTGTCGCTGCCTTGGTAACGACACGTTACGCTAACTGCAGCTCACTCGGGGCCAATAAACCCCCTGCTACAACCTAGGTGGGCAAGCCCACGGCCATTGTGATGTTGAACGGTGGCTTGATCTCGCTGGACTGGATCAAGGACGAGGCTCAGGCCATCCTGGTGGCTTTTGCCCCTGGCGTGCACGGCGGCCAGGCCGTGGCCGAAACCATTTTTGGCGCCAACAACCCCGGTGGCAAGCTGCCCGTCACCATGTACGCCAGTGACTACGTGAACGATGTTGACTTTTTGAACATGTCCATGCAAGCCGGTATGTCGCGTGGGGACCTGTTTGGTTTGCGCTCGTGGGCCAGGGGCGGTACTGTGGTACTGTGCGCTTGACTTTGCTGTCTTGTGACAAGTGGCCGTCCTTCATCTCATGAACGTAAACGGGGAACGTGATGACACAGGCCCGGGTCGCTCGTACAAATATTACACGGGCGAGCCCCTGTATCCCTTTGCATACGGTCTGTCGTACACCACGTTCAACCTGAGCTGGTCACCTGCACCGCCCATGACAACGTTCACAAGCACGCTCCGCTCAACCACGTACACGGCAACCGTGACCAACACGGGATCGGTGGGTGGTGATGAGGTGGTGTTTGCCTTCTACAAGCCCAAATCCGAGTCCCTCAAGACGCTGCCCGTGGGCAACCCCGTTCCAATCAAGGAGATCTTTGGCTTCCAACGCGTAGCCCTGGGCCCCGGCCAGTCCACTCAAGTAAGCCATGCTCCAAAAGCCTTTGCGACCGAGTGCAGATGGGGATGCAAGTAAAATGGTCTTGTCTGTTTACATTTTCACGTGCCCATGTGCTAGGTGACCTTTGAGCTGAATGCGGAGACGTTGGCACAGGTGACGCTTGATGGTCACCGCGAGCTCCACAGCGGCGAGTTTGAGATTGAGCTGACCCGTGGTCACGGCGAGGTCCTCACCGGCACTGCCGTGGTGGATGTGGCCCAGCCCGAGCGCCTTGCCACCTTCCGCAAGTGGTGGTAAACTTTTGGTGTTTAATACCGTTTTGTTTTTGTTTGTGCATGTGCTCTTGGAGTGTCAATGACGCACGCCACGCCAACTGGAATTGACCTCTTAGAGTGAAGTGACAGGAAGGAAAGGTGTGTGGAGTGGGGGGGGGAGGGACATGTATGGACACACAAAGCGAGGTTCAATTGCGCACAGCGCGCCGAGGGGCGAGGAAGAAGGGTATAGGGTAAAGGATGCAGGGGTTGGACCGTGTTGAGCGAGGCATGACGGGGGTTTGGCTGGTGTGGCTTTGGGCGAGCGTCTACTCGTAGCGTTTGCGCATGACGCGATACTTTTTGAGCTGGATGGCGCCGATAAGCTCGTTGCGCAGATACCAGCGGCCTCGGGCCACGGCCGTCGCAATCTCGTCCTCGGTCTGGAGGTTGCGGTTTTCGAAAAAGGCCTCCTGTGTTGCCATCCGCCAAAAGGATGGTGTGATGTGAGTACGGTGCCTGAACGAGCAGAGGCGAGGGCCGGACCCCATTGCCTACCTTGGTGCGTCGCCGCACAACCTCGAGGCCCGCGGGGTAATCGCGGCCAGCCATGAGGAAGCGCTTGTAGAGATCGCGCACAGCGGGATGCATGATGATGCTTGGGTCTGCAATTCTTGGGTTGGAGACTACCATGTCAGTCACGCAGCGTACGTTTTAATGCGTCGAACAAGTGCACATGTGCAGTGAGTTGAACTAAACCCAACCCCAGGATCAGGCAGGATAAGAGGTGTATAGCGCGGCGATCACTCCGCCGATACCACGCAGCGCGCGCTGCCATTTGCACGTACTCACACTGGAGCTCTTGTCAGTAAAATGAGAAAATAAAAAGTATTTTCGATCCTCAACGCCACCCATTCGTTGCTTCTCCATTGGTAAACAAGAGTATTTTACTAACCATAAGCCAGGAGAAGAAAAAGTATTTGAGGCACTGCGTTTCAACAGAAACTCGTATCTGCACAGTATTTTGATAAAGTAAAATACATTAATCTCGCCGAGTTTTGAGGTGTGAAATTCGCTTGCAAGCCAAAACTTCTCTTTGTTGTCTCTTTCATTTTTTTTTCAAAAGTCAGTGTGTGTGTGTGTGTGTGTGTGTGTGTTGTGTGTGTCAGTGAAATGGCAGCGCGGGAGCGGGGCGCGCGCTCGACTGAAGTGTGCGATCAGCCGTTGATGGGAAATGCTTGACTCCTGTACCGGGGCAGGGGAGGGAGCAGGCGGGCTGGGAGTGGATTCTGGCTTTGTTGTGATGTGTAGCTGTTGTAAGCCCCCTTTATATTTTCGTTTTTCCTTCTAACGAAAGGGCAGAGGGTGCTCCCTGCCTCCGCTCACTGTCGAGGGCAGAGGGCCACTGACGATCTGCCTTTGGGCATGGGAGGGGTGTGGTGCTGGTCAAAGCCTGGTTTGGTAAAAGGCAAGAAAGGGGGCTGGTACTGTGGATTCTTGGTCTTGATGCGCTTGGGGGAGCACGAAGGGGGGCGTGTGCTTGATGACGCTCACGCTTCAATCTCTCTATTCCAGTTGTGCCCGATGCGCTGATGGCTCATTGACGACATGGGGTGTGATTCGATGGCAGGCTATCTCTGTGCGACGAGCTTGGCTTTTTGAATCAACGCGCTTGTAACCTTCTTGCCGGGATCAATTACCAGACATCATGAAGCGTGCGTACATTGGCCGCTCGCTTCTCGTCGAGCTGCGCCACCAGCACGGCCTGGCATATGACTAATACCTGTTTGGTCGGGGCTTCTTGATTTCAGGTGACTTGGCAGCTGCGCGCCTCGCGCGTGCGGGTGGTGTCTTTGAGAATGTGGACATGCTGAAGAAGGACAAGGTGCACGCCGAGCGTCTGGCCAAGCTCGCGGCTTCTGCCAACGCCCGCGGCGCTGCCCCCTTGCCCCCGGGCATGGGCGGTGCTGCCGCTGCTCCGGCTCCCTCGGCTGGTGTGTATCTATTCAGCGGTCTTGGGTTTTGAGCCACGCTTGCGTCATCGTTGCCGTTGATCCGTCTTGCTCACGCCGTGTTCATCCCCCGCCTGACGCAATGGGTGTTTCAGCTCCCGCGGAGGTAGTCAAGTTCCGTGCCATCGAGGGCTTCAAGAGCGACGAGGTTGATTTTGAGAAGGGTGCCACCGTCTTTGTGGTTGGTGAGCCCGATGCCTCGGGCATGGTCCAAGCCGTCGCGGGTGGCAAGGCCGGCAAGATCCCCATGGACAAGCTCCGCAAGATCACACACGAACTGCTCGAGGGTGAGGTCCAACATTGAAACAGACAGCATTGTTCTGGACCAATTCTTTTTGTTTGCTGGTCATGTTTTGGGACGTCCGACTTTCTGGCTCGTGTTTGTTGATCTTGGCGTGGATCGTGCCGATATGTGCAGAGGAGCGCAAGCAACGCGAGAAGGAGATTGCCGAGGCCCGTCAGGCCGAGGAAGACTCGCTGCGTGAGGAGATGGAAAAGATGAAGCTCGAGGGCCCGGTAGGTGGGCCCGCCATTGCAGCGCTCACTGGCCTGCTTTTTAGTGATGCTCATGTTTTTAATGTTGGGTCAATCTCGCACAGTCCAAGGGCTCTGGTGCCGCGGCGTCGGCAGCAGCGGAGAAGACGCCCGAGCAACTGGCGTACGAGGCTGAGCTTGAGAAGAAGTTTGAGGAAGAGGCAAGTGTCAGCTTCAGCTTGGTCTTTGCAGCCGATTTCGGCCATTGGCCAGAGGCATCTCTGGTTCTGTTGTCCCGATGCTCGATGCCTGGACACGTCGACCCTCTTATTTAGCATGCTTCTTGTTCTTTTTTTCTTGTTAATAGCGCTCGGCCCTGCTGGAAGAGGAAGAGAAGCTCAAGGCCGAGGCAGCACGCATCGAGGCCATGCTTGCGGCGCTCGACGAAGAGGATTAAACTCGCATCTTGGAACTGTTTTCCCACCTCTCCCTTTGTTCTTTTCTTTCTTTCTTTTTGGGTTGTGCGCCTGTTGGCCCCAGACTTTTTTTTTTTTTCTCGTTCGTTCCTTCTCGTATCTCTCCCATTCGTCTTGTGCATGCTTTACGACAAATGGAAGGATTCGATCCCCATGTCGATGCCGCCCTTGCTCAAGTGAAGACAGCGTCCGAGAGTAGCTAGTGAGAGAGACAGGGAGAGAGATAGGGGCAGAGCTAGATAGAGAATCGGAGACAGCGAGTCAGAGACGGAGACAGAGAGCGAGATTGAGACACAGACAGCAACACCATCGAGAGAGACAGACACAGACACAGACAGACACAGACAGACACAGAGAGAGAAAATTAAAATTCAAAATTCATTCATTCACATGTGTGTGTGTGTGTGTGTGTGTGTGTGTGTGTGTGTGTGTGTGTGTGTGTGTGTGTGTGTGTGTGTGTGTGTGTGTGTGTGTGTGTGTGTGTGTGTTGCTTCTTTCGCGTCCGCTCGCTCACACACAGCAGGCAGCACCTCGATTTGGTGACGGGGCGCGGACGACGACAACATCGACGAGGAGGCGGCGGTGGAGGTATGACGCGTCAAGTGGGGGGGGGGGGGCGCTGGGCAGAGCCGTCGTTGCGATTGCAACGACTGTCTCGGAGCCTGGGGCTGATCCTGGCCGCCATGCTGATTGTGGCCGTGTCTAGTCCCGCCCATGCCGATCCAGGTCTGTTGACATCCCGGTGTCTTGGTGGAATGATCTGCAGGCAACCATGCCTCGCATTCGCTTCAAGTGCTCTTACTCGACGCGTCTTGCCTGCAGCCCACTTTGAGCTCGTGGACGGAACCAAGGTCAACACGCCTGCGTCAGCGACATTCGCGGATATGCCACGTATGGCAGCCCGATCTTGCATACACTGCGTCTGGCTTGATCTGCTCTTCCCGCCCTCATCCCAGCACATCAAACGCGCATATTTGTGGCGATAGCTCTTTCCACCGACCTCTCGGTGCCTGCCGTCAACCAAGACAGTTATTGGCTCGCCTGGTATGCCAGGGTTTTGCTTGAACCTTGTTTGATCTTGTCGTCAAGGTCATGGGCTCACTCAAAAATTGCACCCTGGCGAATCCCGCCCTTCCTCTTAGGTCGGTTGTTTCCTCTTTTGGCGGCACTTTCAGCGCCACCATGGTACGAAATTTTGCCGCATCTCCCACTCGTGTGTGCTCCATCGGCAGACAATAGCCAGATCTTGCCAAACCCCGGGGCTTTTGACTCAATGTTTGGCGGTGGGAACCCAGCTCGCAGTGGACGACGTGCCAGTGCCTGAAAGCGTCTATACCACCTCCTCCCTCTACAAAAACCTCCTGAGCGCCGTTGTACTCCCAGCTCAGGCCGGTGAAACGGCTGGTCCAACCATCTCCGTCCTTTATCGGGGAAATGGTCAGCTGAGCACCAATGCATACGAACCCCTCGATGATTCCACCGGTTTTCGCTACACGGGCATGGCATTGGCCCAGTTCTGCCAAACAAAGGTACAGCAACCCGCCAAGCCTACACTTCAACCCCGTTCTTTCGATCATGACTGCCTGGCGCTCAGCGTTGGCACCCCTCACTTTGGCTCAACCTCTTTCATCCCAGCTCCTCGCCAACGCCAGTCAAGACGCCTTCACCCTGGCTGGCGATAACAACTGGCACACAGCCCTCACGGCCAACGTGCAGACCACTGCTACCGACGCCACCGTCCTGGTTTGGTACGCTATGGCCTACACTCTGAGCTCGTCCCAGTCCGTTTTCTCCCGCCTGCTGGTCGACGGTTCCAACCATGTCGGATCAGCGGCTGCAAGTGGCATGTCTACCGCGGCCACCAATGCCGCTGCAGCGCTCGTCACTCTGAGTGAGCCGGGGATGCACGCCCTGACTCTCGAGGCGCAGTCTTCTCAAACCATTGGTTCGTGCCTGCGTCGTGTACCAGCCAAGATGTACTCCGTGATGCAACTTGATTGTCATTCATGTCCCACCCCGTAGATGTTTTGAGCAACGATGATACACATGCCAGTCTGTTTGCCCTTGAGCTACCGCCCAGTGCTCAAGTCTTGGCATCGCGGGAGATTGCTCAGGATGGGTTGACTCTCAACGGCTTTGACGCCTGGACCATGCTCGGTCAGTCTGGGCTAGTCGGCTCACCATCGCAACTTGTTTGATGCTCTCTCCCTGATCATGGTCCGTACGCTCCACCGCGCAGATACTCCGATGGCATTTGATCTCGTGGAGCAAACAACCGTTCTTGTCTTCTGGCAAATGGCCGTGGAAAGCGGCCAGCTACTGGTACGAGCTGCATCTGTGCTTGGCCTGTGCCCTGCGCTGCCGCATGAAACAAACACTGAATCAAACATCAAAACTTTCCTCTGGCGCGCTCATGCAGACGGCACATGCCGTGGTCGACGGTGAAAGCCTTGGGCGAACGCGCTGCATCAACGGAAACGCTCGCTACTTGACCTGCCGTGGCATGACCACCGTCACGCTTGAGGCCGGGTCTCACTCTCTACAGGTATGGTGATTGACATTTGTCAAAGGTTCTTTGAGTCAAAGTATTCTTCGTCAAAGTGCGTCACAGCGCTGTGACAGGCAAATAATCTGATGGTACCCACGTGGCACCGGGACACTTGATACTCGCAGATCCGATACCGTACCCCAGGCGCGTCTACTTTTGACAGCCCCTTTGAAGCCCGTACACTGTATGCCATTGCCCTTCCAGACTGCCCTCCGCCTCAGGGGCCACCGCCCAACGTCACGTGCGTCATGGCATCCTGCTGCCCTGGAAAGTCTGACCGCTTGGTGCCACCAATCTGTGCTCAGCTCCCATTGCCCCATGTGATACTCCTTGCAGATGTCCTACAGAGTCCCTATCCATTAACACACAAATGAATGCCAGTTACGGCGTGCTGAATCTCACCGCAGACTACGAGGTGTCCACGGACAACGCGACGGTCACCTTCCATCCCGCCCTGGGTCAGCTATTGCCACATTCGCGTGCGTCCAGTCTCATTGAATAACAACTCATGCCCAATTGTCCTGTGGCGTATATTGCAGAGGCCCTCCCGCTGGGCCAAAACACAGTCAACCTCTCGGTGACCGACGACGACAACCGCACGGCCAGCTGTACATTCAACGTATCCGTGGTCGATGATCAGCCGCCCTTTGTCTTTTGTCCCGACGACATAACCATCCCGACGCTACAAGGCATGAATTACAGCCTTGTGCCCTCCTTTAACACCTCAGCATCGGACAATTCAGGCGCCATTCCAGCCATCACGCACGATGGCGCCGCTGGTGATCAAGTTCAACTTGGGTCGCCCAAGATTATCATGTCCACGGCCACGGATGCTGCTGGCAATGCTGCCAGCTGTACCTTTTTCGTTACAGCACAGGATATTGAGCCTCCCGTCATTTCTTGCCGCAATAAGGTGGCAAACGTCAGCCTAGGCGAGGATAGTGTTATCCTGGGCAACACCACGTATGCCACGGCTTCCGACAACAGCGGCGTTGTGCAGCTGAACTGCTTTGTGGCAGAAGATTATGCCTTTCGCGTTGGGAATCATCTGGTGAGCAGCAAACTCGGCCTCTCATCTGTTTTCTCATGGTGTGGGCCTCATCCGCTGCTCACCCCACCATATCTGTCCGACGCTTGCTGTTTCATTCGTCAGGTCACATGCATGGCAGAGGACGGTGCAGGGCTAACTGCATCATGTCACTCGATTATTTCTATCCGAGACTACGAGGCTCCCACGTGCCCGACATCGCGTCGCACCTTGATTGTAGCCAACACCTCCTATGCCCTGATGTACAGCGATCTGGGCATTTCAGACAATGCTGACGCTGCGTTGGACATTGACTGCTCTGTGCCCGAGGAGACTTTTATCCCCTTTGGCCCTGAAGAGGTGTGTATGTGGTTGTGTCTGTCTCGCTGGTTTACTTGCCATGCTCTGCCTTGATGCTCATCTCCTCGCCTTTTGCGTGCAATTTGTGATGCACAAAAAATGACAGTTTTCCTGCCAAGCAACAGATGCCAGTGGAAATGCAGGTTGGCTCTTTGGACCGTCGTCAGCATCGTTTGTTGCTCTTGCAAATACGGGCAGTGCTCGTTCAAGCCTTGGGCCAACTTCTCATTTCCATCTGCCCTGTGCTTCGTAGTTGCTTGTGTGGTCGATCTCCTGATTTTGCCCGCAGACCCCGTCGCCGTCGACCACAGCCCGCCTGTGCTGCAGTGTCCTTCAGCCTTGCCCGATCAGGAACTCCCTGCCTACGCCACCAGTATGCCTGCAAACTACAGCCTACCGACCGCGTCTGATAACATCTACGTGTCAGCTATTGCTTGCACTCCTGCTCCCGGGGAAGAGCTACCCCACGGCGCAAACAGCATCGAGTGCACCGCATGGGATGTGGCGAACCTGACCGATCGGTGTGAATTTCAGGTGTATGTGCGTGACATGGTCCCTCCCACCATCTCATGTCCCGCAGACATCTCCATCAATGGGGCCCCGGGCGAGTATGCCGTGCGCGTTGCGTATGATCCGCCTGTCGCATCGGACAACATGGACTTGCCTGATGTCGATGCTGTGGGATGCTTGCCCGTGTCTAATTCCAGCTTCTTGATTGGTGGCACGCGTGTGGAATGTGAGGCGCGTGATGTTGACAACAACACGGCCACTTGCAGCTTTGATGTGGTGCTCCTGGACCGAAATGCGCCCATCATTGCTTGTCCCAGTGATGTGTCAGCTTGGGCGGAGGGCCCCGACTACCGTGGGGCCTTTATGACGTATGCTCCAGCGGTGGCCGCCGATGATCAAGAAACAGGCCTGCCGACGGTTACTTATTCACAAAGCAGCGGAACCTACTTTGCTCTGGGTGCCACAAGGGTCACGGCAACAGCACGTGACGCCTCCAACAACCAAGGCAACTGCAGCTTTGTAGTGACTGTGCTGGATAACCAGCCCCCGACTCTAACGTGCTTTGATCCAGCTTATCAACCAACTGCACCGTCTCTGCCCTACGCGTTTGCAGACTTGCCCGACATACTTGCGGAAGTATCTGACAATTCCAACGCAACCCTGGTGGCGCAATGCAGCGTGCAGGAAGGCCAACGTCTGGGTGCCGGCACCACACAGGTCCTTTGCTGGGCCACTGATGCGACGGGGAATCGGGGCTCTTGCACCACCACGGTGCATGTGCTGGACGAGGAGGCCCCCAACATCACGTGCAGCAACTTTACCCAGTTGGCCTACAGTGCGAGCAATGCCTCAGCGCCCATGACCACGCTGTATTATCCAGCCCCACGCGCTTCGGACAATGTGCGAGTGGTGTCCGTGGCCTGTGACGTAGTCTTAGGAACCCCGGTCGGTCTGGGGACCACCAACGTGAATTGTGTAGCGCGAGATGCGGCAGGCAACATGGCCCAATGTTCTGTGACTGTCACCGTGGAACTGGGTGACGCCGACTGCGAGGGGGCATGGTCAGAGTGGAGTGCGTGTGAAGGGTGTCCAGCAGGCTCCTCGTTTTCGTCCTTTATCGTTGCAGTTCCGGCGTCAGGGGCTGGCGTGCCTTGTCCAACAAACGTCCGCCAGCGGCCCTGCAATACAAGCTGTAGCGCTTTGACGATGGGCTACGAGTTTGTGGCCATGGAAGCGTACGAGGCAAACGCAACAGAAGCAACCGCAGCTGCAGCTACGGCCGTTGTAAAAGGCCTTTTGGGGCGACTCGACGATGTGGGTACCTACGAGGTCACGGTGACGACGTTTGTCTCCCCCTGGGGCACGTTGTCGGTGGCCGTGGCTGTGGACGTGCGCACTGCGGCCCTGGCGACCATGCGTGGCTTTTTGGTGGACAACACGGCCCTGCTGGAAGCGCTGCTGCTAGATCGGCCGGCAATTGCTGCCGTGGTCCCGTCGACAGCCACCCTGGTAGAATATGGGGAAGGAACGACGCCAGTGACCACGTCGACGACAGTTGCCTCGGGAGGTTTGGCGGGCTCGACCTCAACGACAGGCAACCCGACTGCGGTTGCCAGCAGTGGCGGCGATGGTCTTGCCCGAGGTGGTGCCATTGCACTGGGTGTAACCATGGCACTCGTCATCTTGCTTGGCGCACCAATCATCTACTGGCTCAATGGTCGTTGGATTGCGCGCCCATCTGCCGGCGCGGACCAAGGCCCTGTCAACGATTCCAGCTCTGAAATGATGGCCAGCGTGGAAACAAGAGTTGATGTTACCCCAGCGCCACTGCTGCCCTCGGTGCAGCTTCGCTCTGACTCAAACAATGCTGGAATGTACCGTATCGTAACTGAGGATTGTTAGGCGTGGCTTCATTAGGCAGTGAGGCAAGAGAAATTGAAGTTTGTGAATTTTTTTTTTTTTTTTTTTTTTGTGTGTGTTCGTTTCTTTTTTCTTTTTTTCTTATTGTTTTTTTGTTTTTTTGTTTTTTTGGGTGAGTGTGTGCTATATTAGATTTTGGGCCTGAGCTGCGACATGTGCGCGAGCTCGGTGGTGAGTGCGATTGGCCACTTTTGCATTACTTCAGGCATGAATGGTTTAACATGTGTGAGTCTTCTCGTAAGAAGTCGAGGTGTCATCATTCTGATACGAGTTCGTATCGAAGACAGTACGTCATGATTTACGTGCAAATTGATGTGCGATTTGATCACCTGGCTTGCTCTGCAAAGCCACATTCACCGGGTTTGCGGAAAAGGGGGGCCATTTGATCCTCCAAACTGGCTGCGATCCTGCATGGTGTGCGTTGCAAACGAACGCAGCCATCAATTGCGAAGAACAGTCAAAAGAATTTCATGTTAAATGGCATAATCGAAGTAAAGCAACGGTGTGCTGCAACGGCAGGACAGGGGTTCTGTAAGTCCGTGGTCAAACTGTCAGTCCGAGCTTTGCTTAGCTCAGCAGTCCGCGAGTAATTGGAGAAGATGACAACGTGGGATCCTGTGCGCACGCACCGAGGAAAAGCCTCATGAGAACTTCTTCTTGTGAGAAGTATCGGTAAAGTGTTCACTGAGCAACAGCTTGGGTGCCTTGATCCTTACCTGCTCTCGCGAGTAACAAGCACTTCCTTGAATGCAGAGCAGGTTCCACCTCGGGGTTAAATCAAAACACCTCGCGCCACGGGTGTCATTTTCGGTTTCCACTGGGCTGCAACACTCGGCTGACTGACAAACATGGCTCCACTGAGATTCTTGCAAGAGGCTTGTGCCAAGTGCAGGAGCGTACCCAAAGAAGGTTTAAAGCATTGTGCAGGTTGCCATTTGACACCGTACTGCAGTCGCGAATGTCAAGTCTCGGACTGGGCCAAGCACAAAAGAAGTTGCAGCCCCTGCGCCATTTGCAAAAGGCGCTGCAATAACTCTGCGTCGACCTACGAGTGCCCGGCAGACATTCCGATTGTTTGTTCCGAGGGGTGTGAAGCCATCCTGTCGGCCAGCTTGGTTGACAAGAATATCAGCCCGGGAAAGGTGTTCAAGGATGCCGTTTACTGGTGGTTTGATTATCGTCCAAATTGCCGAACCCTTTATCAGGCTCTTTGCGTGTTTGAAGCACGTCTAGCGTCTGCAACCTCTTTGCAAAAGCGCGTGTTGGTGAGCTGGCTGAACGACCTGGCCGCAGTAGCTCAATTGACGCTGAATGCTGATGCCTTGACGAGTGCCGTGGGACCCGACGCTGGCCATGCACCAGTGACCAACCCAACTCCACTCAAGATCATTGCCTGTATGGCCAGCCACATCACCGACAAATATCGACTGCAAGCTTTGGACCGGTGCTTGGCCTCAATCCAGCGTCAAACAGTCTCGCCTCAACACGTTATCATCAGCTGGTCTTGCGGAACGGAGATGCGAGCTTCCTGCGAGCTTGTGCTGGCCAAATTTGCCTTCACAACGCTCTACAATCAAGGAAAAAGGAGCCAATTTGAGCATTACGCGCGCATCAACAAGTACCTGCAGACAGAGATTCCTTTTGCGGCCGGCGAGGATGTCCGTTTGCTCTTCAGCGACGATGATGATCTCTGGGATTCTCTTCGTGTGGAGCAGGTGTTGAACGCCGTCCAGGATGATCTTGACTACGCAGTGCACATCCTGCCGGCTGTTTCGCCGAACGATTCGCCAAATGTGCAAGCCAATCTTGAAGATTACGGCAATATTCCATTGGCCCTCATGAATCGTGTCGTCAGCCCAATGAGTGGCTTTCGCCCCTCGCCAGTAGTCGAGGGATCAAGCTTTGAGTTTTGGCAAGCTGCCATCAAGTTGGAAGTTTTCGCACAATTTTTTGAGCTAGCAACTGACAAAGTCCTGTCTGATCAGTATTGTGACTTAGGCTTTGGCGCCTTTCTGTCTGCGCAGGGCCCACGCCGGACGCTTGATCAGGATTTAGCTTGGTGCTACCTCTATCGTGGTACTTCAAGCCATGTCTTGACTTTTGATCCGGCCAAGGCCCACAAACGACATGTACAAAAGGCCATCTTGGTATCATTTTGCGATCCTCGCCGACTGCCCATTGTGCTTCACCAGCTCTACGGCAGCCAAGAACAAGAAACACTGGATGAGACCATGTCACCATTTCAAAATGATCCCCAGACAGTGGAGGCGGCGAACTTCCTGAAAACCTTCACGCTGGACGAATTTTTGAACTTTATCTGCCAAGCGGCGCAACACTACCAGTTAGGTGAAGAATTTGAAGCCCTCATCCGCAGCCACAGGGGCGAACTGGAGACGCGAGAGCGCCTCTTTGCACCATGAGGTGCTTTGAGACTTGTCTCAGTCTTTACGCGGCTTGGCCCGTCGGGATGAGGCTGCAGAGGGAACAGACTGGTCTTCTCAGCAGGGACGGCTCAAGGAACAAACAATTGATCCCTCATGCCTACACAATCGTCTCGTTGCAGGCGTCAACCTAACACACACACACACACACACACACACACACACACACACACACAAAGAACGACGAGATGCCGCCGTTCGTTCAACCCCAGAATAACCCAGCCGCAGTCCTTCGCACTTGGCACAACATTCTCCTACTGTCCTTTCTCACTCACAACAGGAGACACAAGAACTTCTGGCTCAACAATCAATCGACCGGGAGGGTGTTGCGGCTGCCGCGGAAGCCCTTTAGGCGTGGTCTCATCTCCTCCCTCTCTCTCTCTTGGATTACACACAAACCAGTCTTATCCTATTGAGGATTGTGCATGCATGCACGCTTTGTGAGCAACACTGGCAATCTGGGCCTGGCCTGCGAGATCGCCACGCGGGTGAGTTGAGCGTCACTAACAGAGTGGCAAAGTGGGCGGATTTGCGGGCAGGGTGGCATTTGGCGCTTCTAAAAGGCCGTCAAGTTGGAGCGATTGCGTGGTTGGTGTGATGGCTCACGGGACCAAGGTGTCGGCGGCGGAGGCCGCCGTCGACGAGCCCCAGCAAGAATGCTGGTCCGGGATCCCTTCACCGCCGCCGCCGTGCTTGATGGTGCCCTGTTGCTGGCGATCATGCGAGACCTCACAGTGTTGCCGACAAGTGGGCAAATGTGGGCCTCAGCGCATGCTGATGAAGCGCGGCGTTTTGACCCTCGTGGCGTCGCTGCTGTCCCTGATTGGTCTGATCTTCCTTTGCTTGGCGTGCGGTGCAATCTCCAACGACAAAGGTACCCTTGAACACTTGCATTGGGGTCGCGCAGATGCACACCTTGGTCCCCTGGAGATCGAGACGTACATGGGTCTCAACTCCCTTCTCATCAAGTCCAACGTGAATAACCTCAGTGGTGTCTATGATTACGACTCCATCAACTGTCTCTACGGGCAAACCACGTGCGAAAAATGCAAGGATCAAGCCAAAGCCTCAGTCACCACAATCATCATGGCGACCGTGACACAGGTCCCTCAGCTGTTGACGGATATCCAGCGTTCGACCGTGGGCGGCGATCTCAACTGCCAAAAGTTCATGGGCATGGCCACCGGCATTTTTGGCTTTGTTGTAACCATGATTGCCATCCAGACCTTTAATCTAGAATGCTTTGAGGAGATCCCGAGCGCCATCCTGGTCAACGTGAATGACGAGACAGTGGTTATTGAAATGGACTCGGCTTATGGACCCGGCTTTATCCTGCTTCTCGTGGCCACTGTCTTAAAGATTGCAGACGTGATTGTCCACGCGCTTCTCCCAACCCCCCAGCACAAAACGGCGCCACCCTACAGTGAATGGCCCACTGGCCAACTCAAACCTCCAAAGAAAGATCAAGTGGAATCAATTACCATGGAGCCCAAGAGCATGAGCATATCCGTTTGTGCAGTGTGAGAATCGTCTGAGATACTTGCTTGCCTGTGTTCCTCGCCTGGCCTGAGTAGAAGAAGCAGCGCGAGTGTTTTACGCAATTGATGTGATCAATACAATCTCGGGGTTTTTTTTATCTCGAATTTGAGAGGGTCGCTCATGCGAAGCCGTTTAGGCCTGACGACAAGGCGTTGGAGGGTATTCTCAATCAAACGTGACGGGACTTCATGCTGTAAGGCAAAGAAGAAGAAGTAAAATTTGAGTTTGATTCGAGCTGAGAGACTCTCGTTTGTTTTCTATACCCAGGCTGAACATGGTGGTGGAAATGCAGAATCCATTGCCGGTATCGGAACGGGTGCGATTGGAGAACAAGAAAGAGACAGACGAGCGAATCCTTGTTGGTGGAAGCAGATCGCAGATCATGCATGACTGATGCTCAATGCGCAAGATGACTCCAAATGCGATTGCTTTATCGGAACGTCAGTTTGAGTCAAGGAACAACCAAAGGGTTGGGAACCTTTGGGCTGCCTTAAAAAGAAGAACCCGGTCAGTTCAACAGGTTCACTATAATTCAGTCACGTCAAGGTTAACGCCCGCCACGGATGGTTGGTGTGACAAGGTTGCTCTGCGTGCGGGCGAAGCCAAGTCCTAGACATCAAGTTCAAGCAAAGTGATATCTGGGTACCGCAAGCCCCAGCCGTATGGTGGATGCAAAGTGCGAAAACACCGTTGTCTGATACTTACGTAGGTGTTAGAATCGAACACATCAGCTGGCTCCGCATACAAGCTGTCCTCCGTCTCAGAAGAATTATTGTAGATGTTGGTACTCGTAGAGGCGGTTGCATCGGAGCTTACCAATTCCACCTCCAAGGTTTCATACAGCTGGCCCGCGCCCATGACCTCTGCATACCTTTCACCCCAGGCAGTATCTGGTTGATTTGGCATCTCATACAAAGAATACGTGTCTTCCATCTCGCGAGCAATCTGAGCCCCTGTTGGGCGTAGCTGGGGATCAAACTGCCAGCAACGTCTGAGCAACTTGAACACCATGATGGGCATGTTTGAAAGCTGAGCCGGCCGTTCAGCGCGCTCGAAAAGATGATAAAGCATGTCAGCTGCCTGATCAACAAGGGGAGTTTGTCCAAAAGCAAATATTTCCCACGCAGTCATGCCAAAAGACCAGACTAGCATGATACAAGCAGCAGCATAATGTAAATCATGCGTGAGCGTTCACACCTGCTGTGAAAAAAAGTGCCGCCCACCGCTTACTGTCTGATCGTGCGTCAAAGTCGCGCTTGGCGATGGTCTCCGGAGCCATCCAAAAAATGGCAGGAGTGGTTTGACTGTTCAAAGTGTCCCATCCTGCTTCAGCTGAAACCAGCGCCTCATAGCAGATCTTACAGTTCATAGTACTTCCAATAAGAACCTACATGTTTCATCAACCCAAGAGTGACTTACCAACAAGTTGTGATGGCTCATCTTGCATATCCCACAAGAGAAAGAAAAAAAAAAAAAAAGAGCGACCCATAACACGGCAACTACATACGTTGCGGGCAGAGAGAGCCGGGCAAAGAGCGTGCCTTTCGTGCAGGTGCGCCAGCCCTGTGGATATCTGATGACAAAAACTGGAAAGTAGCGCGGGCTGCGGCTCGTTGCGCGTGCGTTGCACGCTTTGAAGCCAGTCACGTAAAAGTCCCAGATCTTCTTGTTCAAATAGCACGAGCTGGGGGTCAGCATGCAAACAGTGCCCGGTCAGGCTTGTTACGTGAGGATGCCAAGCGAGTTCTTTGAAAAAGCGCATCTCAGCCATCAAGGCTCGACGGTGATGAGCATCCTTGGGCTCTATCACCTCCGCCAACACTAGCTTGGGTCTGGTTTGGTATCGTGTCTGTACTTGGGCCTCGTGCTTGGTGCCCAATCTTCCTCTGCCACACGCCCGACCAAGCGTAACTAAGTGTCTATTCACGCCCCATCGGTCGCTGTCACAGACGTCGAAGGTCGAGTAAAGACTTGACGTGGGCTGCATCAAGCTTTTACTATGCTGCCATCGGGTTCGCACAAGCAGCATAGCCAGCAAAAGAATGATGACAACTGCTGCCGCCGAGATACCTGCCACCACTGAGACTGAAGAGTTTATAGCTGATGTGCTTCCCTGTGCAGCCAACAGAGCTGTTGGAACGACAGTGGCGCTGGTCGGGGAGGCATGAGAGGTTGAGGAGACATGGGAAATGGTGGAGACATGAGAGGTTGGGGAGGTTGAGAAAATTGAAGAGGTTGAAGAGGTTGAGGAAGTTGAAGAGGTTGAAGAGGTTGAAGATGTTGAAGATGTTGAGGAAGTTGAAGATGTTGAGGAAGTTGAGGAAGTTGAAGATGTTGAAGATGTTGAGGAAGTTGAGGAAGTTGAGGAAGTTGAGGAGGATGAAGATGTTGAAGATGTTGAGGAAGTTGAGGAAGTTGAGGAAGTTGAGGAGGATGAAGAGGATGAAGAGGATGAAGAGGTCGATGAAGTCGATGAAGTAGAAGAGGTAGAAGAGGTAGAAGAGGTAGAAGAGGTAGAAGAGGTAGAAGAGGTAGAAGAGGTAGAAGAGGTAGAAGAGGTAGAAGAAGTGGAGCTGCCAAACTGACATAAGATTCTCCGGTGGTTTGTCCGTGGCTGAAAGGTACCTGGGGGGCATGCCTGACAATATCCTGCATGACTACCGCCACAATGAGACTGATATTCATCTACTGAACAGTTTTGACCTTCGATCGCACAGGCTTTGCATTCGGCTTGTCCTGCTTGGTCCTGAAAGGTACCCTGCTTTGTCAAGAATGGTATGTGAGCTCCTGCGATTCTAGAACTGAACACTCGAGCGGCATTGCGATGAAACAGTACATTGAAACTTGCCTTTGGACAGTGTATACAGGTCTCAGCACGTGCAACGGATGCCTGGTACTTTCCAACTTGGCATGCTGTTTTGAATAAAATAAGAAGAAGAAGAACACCACTTGATAATTATTCGCGCCGCTTGGTAGTGCAACGGAAGTTGACTGCTGTTGACAGGATGCAGAAAGACTTTACCTTGACAAGTGGCACTTGAAACATTCTCATCATCAGGAATAAAGTACATGCCGGGCTCGCAATTAACGGATGCACAGGTCCCCGCGCACCCAAAGACGCATTCAGGACAGGGTGCACAGTTGATATCGCAGCCTGAATCGTAGGCACACCTGTAGGAAAAGCAAAATCAAGTCAAGACAAAAAAAACCAATGCTCGGCCAGCCGCTGCTAGACACTCACGCATCACAGCCGCAGGAACCTAAGGTCAAGAAAGCAAATCGAAGGTCATAAGGTCAAAAGGGACTCAATATGTTCCAGAAACGGCGGAAACGAAAGGGGTACTCGACCTCACCTATACCTAGCCATCCATCCTACACGGTGGTTACAAGTGTGACAAGAATAGGATATTGAAAAATAAGCGCACAGGTTTCGCACATATAAAAATCGCGGTTCAAAAAAACGCTTTTCTCTTCAAACCAGCAGGCGCGCTTACACAGGCACAGCTCTCGTCACAAGTTTGTACATCACATTCTTCATTGCAATCCTCCTACACACGTCACAATGAATTCCGCATCTGTTCAGGAATACGGAACAAGTACACTCTGCCCCTTGCTCTTGATATGGTACACGCAAAAAAGTGTATTGGTGAGGACATACATTGCAGGTGGGAGTGCTTGCACAGTTGTCATTGCATTTGAACGGGTCACATTGCTCGCATGCGAAGCCATCCTTGGAGCACAAAGTTCGTTCCGGCCTGTCTCGTCGACGCCTGGAGGAAGACTTTGCTGAAGTGGGCGCGTACAGGTAAGTCAGCAGTGCATTTTCACCACCGTCAAAACTGCAGGTGGCCAAAGTCTCTAGCTGCCGGCGCCGTTCAACTTGGGAAAGATACCCAAATGGGCCGGTTTGAGAGCTGAGGAGCGAGGCGATGGAATATGAGTCCTCGCTCAAGACCAGCGCCTGAAACCGTGTGCAGTAGAAAGAGGCAGCAACAGATTGCGGTAGGAGTGGTTCATGAGCCAAGCGCAGCCAGGGAAGGATTGCATCTGTGAATTTGGCGCGATCCAGCACATCAACCATCTCTGAGCATAAGGTCGCTTGCTGGTCTTCGCAAATTCGCAGGATGACATCTTGCCAGGTTCGGCCCTGTCGATCAAGTGAATACGTCACATGGGCCGAGGTCGTTCCGGGGCGGGTCCACGCCACGTGAATCATGGATTTGGGCAGGTAGAGGACGTCACCGGCGTGCATCGTCAAATTGCGACAGCTAAACTGTGCTACGTTCTCTACCTTGAAATTCGAGCAACCTTGCAAAGTGAATTGTCTCGGGTGAGCGTGTGCACACTCTGTAACTATGCCAATAGCTAGTTACTCAAAAAGAAAAAAAAAGGGAAAAGGAAAAAAAAAAATGACGAAGACAAATGGAGCACCGTTTGGGTTGGCGTGTTGCAGTTCATATAGCTGAGCCAGGTCTGCAGGCGAAGGATCTGGCCACGTTGTTTTCAGGCGTGGGGGTTGGCATATGCTCCATTCTTTTTCTCCTGCTGTCTGCACAACAATGACATCATACCTATGGCAGCGTGGTGAGCAGGACAGGTGTGAGCACACAGGCGCATCTTTTTCTAAAAGCAAATTTGAGGCGCATCAGCACGGTATGCTTGCGATGGGACCTGTCGGTGTGAAACGGCAGAGCCTGCGCCCCGCCCGAAGAAATGTAGGCATGGGCTGTGACACGGTTGGTCTGAAAAGCGGCTTGTAGAGCCAGCTCAAGCTTGGACAAAGGCGCTGTGGTTGCTTCTCGACGCAAGACCAATGACTCCCCGCTGTCGTGGAAGCGGGCTGCCTCTTCTGACCAAGTTGCTGCGGGCGGGGCCGGACGGTCAGCCCCGGTCGGAGTCTTGTAGTTGACTGCTTGGGGGATAGTCCGAAGCTGTGCGTATGTTTCCAACAGAAAGGCATCAACATTGCGCAGTCCTTTCAGCCAAGGGTCGGCAGCGGCAAGTTGACTCCAGCTTGATGCTGCAGCTGGCACATGTAGGAGGTCACGGCGATAGTAGGAGTCCACGAAGTTTTGAGGGGTGACGGGCGCCAGGAGATTTGAGAGGAGAAACCAAGTCTCTTCATTTACTGCCATATCTTGAGGCGATGCCGCCAGCGCGCCCCAGGCCCACGCAGCGGACGACGCGATCAAAAGATTCACAGTCAAGAGCAGCATGATGCTCTGTTTTTTGTTTTTTGCTGGTCAGAGGCGCCGACGACACCCAACCCCCACCACAAACCACCTGTTTGAAACGCCCGAACCGCCTCACAATCGGTATCCAGCCCAAGACGTTGATGCAAAATGACCATCACCCAACTACGACAAGCAGGCAGCCATGTGGACGAACGACGGACGGACGGCGGACTCGCTTTTACGACACGAACGTGTGTCCAAAAGTGTAATCACTTGAGACAAACCCCAACCAACATTCCTGTCGATACAGGTTTGAATGGGAATTTGAGTCACCCGAGCGTGCCCAGCGGTGTGTGCCCTGCTCTTGCTGTGTTGCTGGTGGTCGGTCGCCTGATCACCTCTCTGTCTTGACTCATTCCTCCGACCTTTCCAACCGGCTCTGTGTGCGGTTTGTGTGTCCCTCCTCGGGTGTGATGTGATGACGCCACCTATCGCACTCAATGAACCCCCACTGACACTTTTGCCACCCCTGCCTACCGATTGTACCTTAACACTTGGTCTCACTCAATGGTTGATGTCTCTGTGTGTCCCTCTGTCGTCTCTGTCGTGTCTGTCTCTCCGTCTCTCCGCTCCGCTGTCTCGCTGTCTCGCTCTCTCGCTCTCTCGCTGTCTGTCCGTCTCTCCCATCTCGCTGTCTCTCTGCCTCCCCCTACCTCTCTGCGTTTTATAGCTCTCTCTCTCCCTAAAGCTCTCTCTCTCTCTCTCTCTCAAACTCTTCTTGTTCCAAACACTGTAAACCTGACGGATGTTAAACGTACTATAAACCACACTCTATGTAGTATTAAATGAAGATCTGACGATAGTTCATGTAGCAAACATTGAGGTTATTGTAGTTTTCAAAGGGCGTGCGTTGTGTTTCTGCTTGACAACCTGTGAACCGAAAAGACGTTCTCCCTCTGCGGTCTGATCATCGTTTTGGCATATCTCTGGCTTCTAGCTCATTATTATCTTCTTCTGTGAATACCCTGCGTTTCTCACTTAAAATTGTTTTTTTTCTTCATCGGTCATGCTCTATCCCTTATTCGTTTGCCGAATGCATCTATATCTCTGCCATTGGTTCGAGTCCAGTGTCTCTCTCTTTAATTTTTTTTCTGCTTGATCAGCACCCTCGTGCCGAGTTGTCGCTCGACCCCCGGTGCATGCACATCTCGGCTTCTCCGCCTTGCCCCATCTCGCCGCTTTTTCCCCGAGACAACCCCTCTTCCACACACATACACCCACACACACCCACACACACTCACATATACGCCGCGTGCAGCCACTTGCCTTCTATTCAGCGGGTTGGAAGGAAATAAGCCGAACCTTGGAATCCGCCGCCCCCCACACACACATGACAATGACGACGGTCAGAAACGAGCGCCTCCTGGTTTGATTTTGGCAGCGATGCGTGAGGTCCTTGTGTTCCCTCGCGCTAGGGTGCATTGTGCTTTGAACCTCTGACTGATTCTTGCTCGACCTTGCTGTCCGCTGCCATTTTGCAGCTGTGCCCTGATTAGCTCGATAAGTTTTTTAACACACACCAGACGACCAACGACACCTGCCGCCCGCCGCCCGCCGGCTGTGCGTTGCAGGGGCTGGGCCGACACCGACGTGATGGCCGCGAGCGGACATCGGAGCGTGGCATCGGTCGAGGCCGTCGACCGCTTTTGTCGGCGTAACATGCCCGACGCCATGCGTCGCCGGCAATTACCGCCCGAGCTTGGCGTCGTTCGGCTCGACCACGCCCCCAAGCTCTTTCCACGCTGGCTTCTTCTTGATGACCAGGCTCTTCGGGTGGTCCAACAGCAACCCAAGAGTTTGGACTTGCTCTGCACCCTGGACAGTGTGGCTGATGTCGAAATCGTCGCCGGCGAACCCTTGCCAGACTTTGTTCGGAGCCAGTTTGATGTGGCTGCCTGCCTGCAGGTCCGCCTGCACCTGTGCCCCTCGACTACCCCGACCCAGCCACCTGCCCCGATGACCCATGCCGTCGACAGTAGCCGCAGCTACCAAGCTCTGCTCTACAGCTCCAACCCGGAACCGGGAGCAAGGCGCCCCGCGCCTTCCGTTTCAGTTTCGTCGGCCAGCAGCAGTCCAGACCTGCGCCGACACATTTCCACGCGAAGCCTCAATAGCTCACCCCTCACTATCCTCAATGGGCATGTCCACCGTTCAGCAAGTGGTGGGGCCACGTCACCACACCTGCAGCGCGTTCGACCCGCCCCCATCGTCACCTCGGCCGCGCGAGCTGTTGCTGCCAGCCGGTCCACCATGAGTGCTGGCGCCAACTTTACCGTGCCAACCTCCAGCGCGTCTCAGCCTTCCTCCCCGCGCTGGTCACGGCGCAGTGACCAAACTTCCAACAGTCCCACCCACGCCTTTTTTGCAGAACAACAGAAAGACCTGACCCAGTTCTCCCGTCGCCTCTCCGCTGACCTGAACAACGCCCCCCACTCGTCCACCGCCCGCCTCTTTCGCTCTCGCAAGTCCATGTCGCCCAGCGCAAGCACTGGCTCCCTCCGCGCCCTTGACCGTGACTCCGCAACAAATCCAAGTGCCTTTCATCATCGTACGGATGCTGCCCGGCCCGGACGGGGCAGTGCGTCGGGTAGCCACATGGCCCACGCCTTCTTGGCTCCAGGAGACGAACGTGCGCTACAGCCCGTGGACTACGTCGATCTCTTCTTGCCGCATCACTCGGCCCCACGCTTTGTCGCCCTGCTTCGAAAAATGTGCTTTTGGCGCTGGATTCAGCAGAGCGCCCCCGCCACCTCGTCGTCTCCCACTGTGCCTTCCCAAGTGGGGGCGACTCTGGCCGAAGGAGACCCCGCAACTGACTTTGCCCGGCTCTGGCAGCCGCTCATGAGCGGTTCCAAATCTTTTGAACAACGCGTTGCCTGCTACAGTGCCCTTGTCGAGGCCTGCCAATCCCGCGAGAACCTGCGCATCATATTCTGGACGCATAACGACTGTGCGGCTCGCTTGTTGGCGCAACTGGATCGCCTGCTGCACATGCCCCATCTTTCGCGCGAGGACGCGGCTACTATGGAAGGTGCAGATAAGGTGGCCGACGCGCTGGAAGAGGCCGCAGCCATCCTCCATCTGGTTGTCATTTGCGTACGGGGCAGTCAGAGCCTTCTTGGCAAGGCCCGTGCTCTCGTGTCAGCCCCCGTCGCCGATTGTCTGGATGTGGTTCTCCACACCTTGTTGCAGCCTGTACCCTACGTGGTCATGTTGCCCCGCCACCAAGAGGTACAGGACCAGGCAACAGACTTGTTGCAAGGGGTCATTGAGCTTTTGGCCAGCCTGGCAGACTTGGAATTGGACACTTTGGAACCTGCCAATGGCAATCTTGTCAACTTTGGCCGCGAATACCTGCGACGGCTACTTCGGCGCCATCGAGCACAGCTCTGGCCCATGATCAACCTTGCGCGCAAATCTTTACTCAAATGTTGCAAGCGCTCTGAGGGCCTTCACCCCACTTCACGCCGCTTCCTTCGCGCACATCTCCGCCTGGGATTCCTGCAAATTGCCCTCCCTGAAGTGGGCCCGGAACGCTCTCCCGATGATCGCGCCAACCTGCAAGAACTTCGGCACAGGCTTCAAGCGCTCGAGCTTCCAGATGATATGCGCGCCAGTGGTGTGCTTGTGAACCGGTGTCATGAGGTTATTCAACTCTTGTAAGCTGCCATTGCGTGGGTATCGGTTGGTAGCGATTTATTAATCTTTCCCGCGAGGTGCACGGTTAGGACTACTTAGTCATGTTCGTAGATGAGGATTGGTGCTCATGTTATGCTAGCCACTTTTTGTACATGACAATATACCCATACAAGACAAAGCCGGGCTTTTTGAGGCTTTTGTATTTGGCACGATATGCCCTAATCTACCAAAAGCTAATTCTTATCTATATTGACTCTTGAAATTGCGAGGCAAGCACACCAGTTCACATACTCTTGATTAAGAACATAACACGCCACAATACGAGTCCGGCGGCGGGGATGCGTGAAAGACAGAGCGCACAGGGCGGCTGTCATGCCGCTGAAGTCTTCAGCTTTTTGACAGCTTGGGCGAAAACACGCTTGATTTCACCCATGGTGGTATGAAGCAAGTTTACTTCATCCTGTCGTCGTTGCAGCTCCCGTTGATGGGCAGCTTTTTGTAGGTGCAACTCCTCGCGCGCCAGCTCCACTTGCTTGGCCAAGACCTGTTCAGAGGCGAGTACGAGAGACCAACAAGTATGAGATCCAACAGGTGTCATTCGAGGTGTTGTTGGTACTTTTCAGATGGGTGGGGCAATAGACTTGTCGGATGGCACAGAAGAAGACACGGATATAAATAAACGAAATAGCCATCAAACCTCGGCATCGCTGTTCCCGACATCGGTGGGGGCAGCCCGCAGACGCAGCTGTTTAAGCTGAAGTTGGGCATCAAGCAGCGCCTGTTGCACGGCTTCAAGATCCCGCTTGTACACGTCATGCAATTCTCGAAAGCGATCGCGCTCAATCTCAGCCACACGAGCCTGTGCCTCCGCATCCTGCACCAATTGGAAATGACTAATGAGATGCCCGAGAGACAATGACGAAGCAACCGCTGAAACACTCATCTTCAAACCGTATTGTCTGACTGGAACACGGAATACATACTGGAGTAGTGCTTCCACGACTTGAGGTGGGCCGTAGTGCTTGATCTGCTGAGCGGATGCCGCGCTGCAAACACAGGCAACAAAGAATATCAACGACATGAGGCCGGGATTCTTGCAGGCAAACATCAGTGCGGCCGTGGTGGCAATGGTCTGATGCGGTCAACACACGCGAGACGTCGTTCGGCGGGAGTCCGGACGGGATTGGGGGAGCGAAGTGAGAAAAGGGTCTCGAGCAGAAGTGCTCGGCCTTTGCCGTTGCGCAACTTGTGACTTGAGTGACTCGAGCTCCTGAGCTTGTTTTTGGCACACCGCCGTCATGTCTCGCAGCGCTTGCAGCGTTTGACTAATCGGCGGACATACGGTCCAAGACCAGCGCTTTCTAGTGAGGCGCTGCTCCGACGCAAAAAAGGGTCAACAAAAGTCAAGCAAACGCAAACACATGAGCAACAGACCTGTCGCCCTGCACGTGTTGAACGCGCGGCTTGCTGTGCTCCTGTTCCAGCGTGCGCAAACGAGTCGCTTGTTCTTCCTTCTCTTGTTCAAGAGCGACAATCTGTTCCCTTTGAGACCATGCGAAGCAACATGACCAAGCCGCAGTTGTGAGGACAAGGAAATTTGCAGACAGAAACGCCGGAGAGAAAGCAGTGGGGACGTACTGTAACTCGAGCTGTTTGGCACTGTGGTCTGCGTCGGCAGCACGCAGGGATTTGAGTTCCTCACTAACGGTTTTGTATCGGGTGCGCAAATTGCTGTGTTTGATCTTGAGGCGATCGTGGTCCTCCTGCAGCGAGGCGGCTTGCGACTGCGCGGCATCCAGTTCCTGTTTGCGCTTTGCTTCCAACTCTCGCAAGGCCTCTCGTTGCCGAGCATCGTTGGCCCCGGCACGCATGGTCGATCGTTGTGACGCCATGCTGGTCCGGCCACTCCGGTCTCCCTGGTACTCCGTTAGCTGTGTGCACGGCAAAGCAGGATCATGTGAGTGGCATGCAGCAAGCACAACGCACTCTGGTGATGCCGCTCTCGCTTGAAGTGTACAACCTTGGCCTTGAGCAAGGCAATTTGTTCGGCACGGCCTTTCCAATTGCTCTCGCCGTTCAAAATGACTGTCAATGGCACACTATCGCCTGGGTGGTCCTCGTCAAAAGAGGTGGGCCGGTGAACAAGGCGAACTATGGAATGTGTCGACCAGTGCTGGCCAACAGGAGCGGACTGGCGTGACCAGGTTTTTAATAACAAAGATGAAGATGGAAACGAACCGAGTTCTTTCTCCAGGGCGTTGAGAGCGGTTTGAAGGTGCTTTTTTAGAGTTTGAATCTCGGAGCGATATTCGCTGAGCTTTTCCGATTCCTTCTTGTCTGACTGCGAGCTGTCGGGGTGAGGGGAGCTGGGGGTGACACTGCTCACGTCCCCATCAGACTGGGCTTGAAACCGCTGGACTTTGCGCCGCTCCTTGGCCACCTCTCGTTCCAAACCCAGAATGGCATATTCCAGTTCGCCAATCTAAGCGCGGCCAGCGGGTGAGATTCCCAGGCGATGGTTGGGCAGAGGGAGGTGGTAGCCCTTGTGGGCCGAGAACCCACGCAACTGTTCCCTGGCTGGGGCTGTGGGCAGTACGAGGTAGATTACCTTCTTGGTGAGCTTGGTGGCTTTGGCTTTGTGGGCGTTGGCACTGGCTTGAAGTTCGCGGTTTTTCTTGCCAAGGGCCTGAATCTTGGATGCGGCCTCACGCATGTTATTGGGGAGGGCGTCCTCGACCTGATCGGCACTCGATTCCTGGAGTCGAGCCTCAAGTTCTTCCAGGCGCTCGTTTCGGTCATCCAATTGCTGGAGTAGCTGTAGATTCTCTTCCTGTAGACGACGAATCTGATCCATACCAGCCCACTGGAACCCGCCATCGGCGGGCGCCTGGGTTGCCAGCGTTGAAGGTCCAGTAACGCTAGGCGTGCTGGGTTTGGGTCCGACCGAGTTGCCTCTGGAGGCCAAGCGACGATCCTTGGCATGGCTCGCGGGCCGAGGTGTCTGTGGTTGTGGCACTGCTACAGTCGCTGCAGCCATGACCGCGTCTGCTGCGGCAGGGGGCATGGCCTTGGGCAAAGCATTGGGGTTTGTCACAGAGGCTTCAGCCGAAGCCAGGAGCCGAGCCAAAGCTGAGCCAGCTGGAGGCTGGCCTGCCGACTTGGGAGCGGATGATCGGTTGGCCGAGGGCGGCCGTTTGCTTTTGACCGAAGACGGCTGCGTTTTGCGCTGCCCGGCGGTGCGAAAGTCGAGCGGTTCCTCCTCATCGGACGAGTGGATGACGGCATCCCCACCATCATCCTCGGGCGGAGCATCTCCCGCGTGCTCCATCCTCGTTTATAAATGCAACCCTATCAGCAACACCGGCGCCCTAGTTGCAAACAAGCGCATCCAATACTCCCCAAGCCATCCGCATCCTGTCCGACCGCACAGAGAGAGCGACAGTGAGAGAGAGAGAGAGAGAGAGGAGAGAGAGAGAGAGAGAGAGAAAATTTTCAAAGAAAAAATGAAAAAAAAGAGAAAAACAAAAAAATAAAATTTGATCAGAAAGCACAGCAATAACCTTTTTATATAATACGCCAGCCATCATTACTACTCTCAATGCATCTACATTAACTCTTGATTTTGAAGCATCATCGTGATTCGCTATTGTGCCGCATAGCAACTGAGACATATGGAGGTGTCGGATGGCAAGGGTCGGGCGGGAAAGAATACGGGGTCGGGAAAGGAGGACAAGATTGGGGACAAAAGGGAGAACAAGCAGGGATTGATTGACATGTGACTCCTCGGCGTCGTCGATTGGAAAGTACCCTGTCGGCAATGCTCGGCATTGCATTTCGACGCGGAAAAAAAAAAAAAAAATCAAAACACAGCGACTTTAGACAGAGCAAGCGCCAAACATAACTCGACGGTCAAAAGCAATCGATGTGGTCATCTTCATTTGCCTGTTGTTCTCCGCGGCATGACCTCACCCTCTACCCAGATGTTAGGTTCGCTCGGGACAAAGGTCATGTGATGAGAGGCTGATGCGAGTAGCTCACTCGCCAAACGCATGTCCACAGGTGTGTACTGCAGCAGTCTGTACTCTGCCGGGGTTTCTAGCTCGAGCAGACCCAGGGCCGGCGTCGGGGCTGAGATCTGACTATCGCGTGCAACTTTCGCCGCAGTCATGACCAGATCGATGGTCGGCTCTGTTGGCAGTGGAATCCATGGATGCGGTCGCAAGGACGGAACCACCGCAGAGGCCTGGGTCAGGGCAGAAGCCTGCCGCACGGCCAGTTCCTCCTCGGCCGCCAGGTCAACCTCGGTCAGAGCCGCTCGCGCTCGGCCTGCATGATGAAAATATTCCAAGTATCGCGCTGCTCTCAATCGGATCACCACCTACATGCCCAGCCCATTTGACATCAGCACCACGATAACGCGTTGTAATACTCTAGCATGCAAAAGGTTCATCAACGGGCATGGGGATAACAAACCTTTCGAGCGGCTCGAACAAAGCGCTCATGGGCTTGCGCTTTGCGTAGCACCTCATTGGCCGGCTCTGGTGTAAAAGTGAGATGTGTCGGGACCGCTGCCGATTGAATTGACAAGTGAGGGCTCGCGACAGACAAAAAGAGGGTCCAACCATCCTTGTGTCACATCGACAAGCAATAGGCGCTGCCCTTGGCAAACCTCACCTATTTGCAGCTGATTTGCATCCTCGATACGCCGACAGGTGCGCATCGGCCGATCATCAACCACTGTGGTCAAGCGCGCGAGGGCTTCTCGGTTTGACTGCTCATCCAAGTCCTGCAAATATTCGTACTCCTGGATATGTTTTGGACATGTACATGTTTTACAGACCCCACATCGAGGTGAGTCGGCGCAGCGGGGTAGGATTGGGACGCATTAAAAATTGGAGAAGGTGGCCAGGAACAAGCCATGTTCACGCGCACCTCGAGGATTTGTCGACGTCCGGATAGGATGCGACGTCGCTCGTCGTTGGAAAGAGATTCGTGACCCACCCCAGGAGGCTGATTGTCACGTTCCTGCTTCTCCTTCAAAAAGTCGTTGATGCTATCAGTACAGTGCCACAAGGGTCGGATGAGATGAAGCACGAGATGAAGACAAGCAAGCGGTGAGAGGGTCATTGAAGCAGGGTGAGAGGGTCATTGAAGCAGGGCAAGAGCGCGTGGAGAGCGCACCGTTGGGCGCGTGTCGCGGGGTTGGTTTCAAGAACGCTGATGGCGTGTTGTGGGTGGCGATGCACCACGTGCTGATTGAGGATGCGAGCAACGCCTCGTGTCGTTGATAGTTGTACCAGCTGGGCCTGCGTGGCGGAGATGTCATCTTGCACTTGTTTTGCAGCCGTGATGCGCCCGCTGCGCTTGCGCCGACTGGCCCCGGTTCGAGCTGTGGCAGGCGGTGCGGTGGGCGGTGCAGATGGCAGGGCTGACGGTGCCTGTGGTGGAGCGTGGAAGCGACGAGAGCAAATTTGGTTGAGAAAAGACCAGCCCTAAAAGTCAACCAATATTTTTAATAGGAGCGTCGGAGCGCCTCGGGTCCTGACCTCGGCCGGTGTGGGTTCGGGTGCGAGGGCCTGTTCAACAAGCTTGGCTGAGCGAAGTCCGTGTTGGCAGTAGCCAGTCACGTTGCAGACGGCTGCTTCGGCATTGTCAGTAAGTAGCTTGATCTCGACCTTGCACGAGCCTGTGGAGTGGCGGGCGCGAATGTGAGTCTGGACGAGACCAAACCAGCAAAAAAGCCAGGCGAAGAGGGCTGAGGCGTACTGGTAATGTAGCGAGTGGGACGATATTTGACGGTGACGGCGCCTTGGCCATCGGCGGGAATGGTGTAGCTGGGAACGTCAAGGGTGAATTCTGGACCAGCCTCGATGAGACGAGCTTCAAAGTCCACGTCGAGGGGGATGTTCAGACCAAAGGTTAGCGTGCGCGCCTTTTCTTCCTCAAGCGCCGTGGTTCCAAAGTCGTGGTGCTTGGGGAGTGTCAGAGTGGGTTTGACGGGATAAGCATGCAGGGGAATGAGAACGTTGGAGGACCCTTCGACGTGAACGCGTATGCAGTCGTAGTAGTAGCGAAGCTCATCGGCTCGGAAGGTGATGGTGAGTTCCTCCGCGCTACCCGGAACAAGTTGGCCCTGTGACGAGAAGGGGGTGCACGCGCAGATCAGGATGGCTGGTCAACATGGACTTTTGGCGTTGAACGACAGGAGAGGAAGCGACACGAGTCAAGAGAGGCTGGACCTTGCGGCTGTAGGCAATGTTGAAAAACTCGGTCTGGGGTTCGACGATATGGGTGCGAATCTGTTTTTGACTGCGGTTGAGGAGGCTGAGTTTGGCCTTGACGGGCTGGCCAACGGTAAAGCCAGAGAGGTGGATGACAGCCGGGGTTGGCTGCACGGCTGACTCGGCGCCTTCCTTGGCAGAGTAGACGTCTGAACGGAGTGGTGTGTGGTGACGGGCGGTCAGCGGTTGTGTGCGTGAGGCAAGCCACGACCCGCCTCATCGGGGTGAACAGCGGAAGAAGCACAGGAGAAGGAGAAGAAGGAGGGAGGGAGAGGTTGCAGGCGCAAGAGCACGGTTCATGGAATGCGTGGAAGACTCACGTTGATCAATGAGACGGTGTTTGGTGGTGGCCGTGGCTGTTGGCGGGGCCACGGTCTTGGCCATGGTTTTGGGTTTGGACCAAAAGTTGGAGCGGAAAGCGCCAAGAAGAGACGCGATCAGGGAGATAGGGGCCTGGTTAAAGCCTTGCCTATTACTATTATGGACGGGGCAAACCTGACATGGCGGCACCCACGGTCCGACAGAGCCGATCTAAGCGACGCCGGAAAGCGGGGCGGGGTGGGGATTTGTGTGAGTAAGCGGTAAGCCAGCGCCGCAAAGAAGCGGGCCGAAGCGCCTTTGATCGCGGTCACGGCAGCAGCAAACCAGGCCCCTCTAATTTTTGTCGTTTCACTTCAAGTGCATCCTGAAGTACAGCCGAACAAGAGCGACCGAGGGCTGGCACCAGCGGGGCCTCTGCGCGCGCCTCTGCCGTTTGCGCGCGAGTGAATGTTAACGTCGCCAAGGACGTCTTGTCCCCAACACATGTTCTATCCATTACCGTCGGCTTTATGTCAGACAAAAATGTGTGTGAGAGAGAAGAGAGACGAGAGAGAGATTGGAAATAAAGAGCAAAGACACAAAGGAAAAGCACAACTACCACATGAGATAGAGACAAAAGACAATTGAATTGGTCTGAAGGAGATCAACAAGGGCCATGGATAACACAAGCAAAGCAAAACGGATAACTACCACATGTAGTAGTAACAAAGGAAGTAGATAAGAGAGAGACAACACCTGTTATCAACACTGTTGTACCCAGCGCTGAGCGAAAGTGTACACGATCGCTAAAGCATTGGCGCGATTGCAGCTGTGTGTGCGTGTGCTGCGTTGTGTGTGTCTCTGTCTCTGTCTCTCTCGCTCTCTCTCTCTCTCTCTCGCTCTCTCGCTCTCTCTCTCTCTCTCTCTCTCTCTCTCGCTCTCTCTCTCTCTCTCGCTCTCTCTCTCTCTCTCGCTCTCTCTCTCTCTCTCTCTCGCTCTCTCTCTCTCTCGCTCTCTCTCTCTCTCTCTCTCTCTCTCTCTCTCTCTCTCTCTCTCTCTCTCTCTCTCTCTCTCTCTCTCTCTCTCTCTCTCTCTGTGTGTCTTTATGCGCATTTGCAAGTGTTGAGGCGTACGTCGGAGGAGGCGGCGGCTGGGGCGGAGGAGCGGTGACCACAGAACGAGGAGGCACAGCACGGCACAGCACGGGAGGGGACGACCGATTCGTTGGGTAGGGTGTGTTTTGGAGGCGTAGCCGTCGACGTGCGTGTGTGGGGGGGTGGTTGTGTGGGGGGGTGTTTGAGCGAAGCGTGGCGACGAAGGCAGGCCACGCCTCGATCTCCCTCCAGCTGCACGGCGGCACACTTGTGTGTCGGCCCTCGGCCCTCGCGTCCGTCCCCGGAGCATGCTTTGCTTTTGATCCTGGTCACACAACACAGTCTTGCTCTGGCTGGGATACTAGCCCACGGTCTGAAGGCGCGCGCACACACACACACACACACACACACACACACACACACGCGCGCGCGCGCGCGCTGCGCACTGTCATGCTCTTTCAATGTTCCAATGGACATCCCTCTTGCGGGCGCGCCTCTTGTTGTATTTGACTCACCCTTGAACGCTGGCCCCGATAGACCCGTAGCCACCGGTAGCAGTCACCTCTCCGTGACTCACGTGTCCGAGCTAGGCTCATCTCGGCACCCGCAAACATGTCACGGCGGCATCTAAAGCAAGAATTACCCCCAGAGGAGCAGCTCAAGGAGCTGGGCCATGGTTCTTTTGCGACGTATGTCAAGCAGTATCCCCCGCCTTGGCCCATCCCCCCACTGCGCAATGGTCTACCGTGCCAGCCCCCGACCCTCCTGCGCCTGACCCTCCCTGCACCTGTCCCTCGTACACCTGTCCCTCCTAACCCTAATTCAGGGTGTACCTGATGCGCTCTGTCGAGACCAACGCCATCTATGCCTCCAAACAAATCAAGGTCCCTTCGCTCGCCTTTGTCTCCCTTGACACGTCAATACGCGCCAAGCAAATGCACCTCACCCCGTTGTGACGACTCCACCTTGGCTGTCGCAGATTGGCCAGCTGAGTCCTGAAAAACGCGCCAAAGTGCTGAAAGAAACGACAATCCTGCGCACGCTCAAGCACCCCCATGTTGTGCGCATGTTCCAGTGGTGCGCCTTCCAACCATGCCTGCCGTGTCCCCCTCTTGCCCCTCCTTCTGGACCCTTATCCCAATGGCCCAAACTTGACGCAGCTACGAACAAGGCGACTTGTTACATGTGCACATGGAGTTTGTGGACGGTGGTGACCTGGATCAACTCATCAAATCCTACGTACGCCAGAGTCTTCCCCGTCGCCTGCTTCTACGCCACATTCAAAATCAACATTCCCCCACCCTGACTTGACGCGGCCCGCGATCCTCCTTCGCCCTGTGCCTGCGCCCGCTTGCCAGATTGACCACGGCGACCGCATGCCCGAGGCACGCATCATTTCAATCTTTGCTCAACTTTGCCACGCTCTGGAATACGTGCACAGCCAAAAGGTCCTTCACCGAGACATCAAGGTATCGACACTGTCCCAGCCCGTCCCCGCAACCCCGCCACTTCGGCCTTCCCCAAACTCACCTTGACTTTATCTTGCCCCCACAACAGCCAACCAATTGTTTTGTAGAGGCTGAGGGCTCCATCGCCAAGCTCGGTAAGAGCCTTGCACGGCGCGCCCCGCCCTGCGCTTGACACCAAAGTGAATCTGGCGTGCCAGCCTCATCGCCAGCTGATAATCGTACTTCCAATGCACCTATAGGCGACTTTGGCCTCGGAGATAAACTCTCCTTCTTCAAAACGCAAACCCATGGCTTCATTGGTACAGCTTTTGCCCTTCCGGAAAACACGCATTTCTTGTCTTCTTGTGGTTCTAACCTGCACCACCACTCACCGCTTCCACGCGCAGGCACGCCTTATTATATGGCGCCCGAAGTCCTCCGCGAGGAGGATTACGACTACAAGGCAGACATCTGGTCCATGGGAGTCATGCTTTACGAAATGGTTCGCGGCCACAAGCCTTGCCAAGCAGCCCAGCACCTGAAAGAGCTCAAAGACATGGTTGCAAACGGTTCGAACCTCGTTCCTTGCCTCGTTGGCGTTGAAATACCCGGCTTTCTCACGCACACTTCCCGACCTCGTGTCGCTTCATGCCCGGCAGAACGCTACAAACGACTCGTGCCCGATCGCGATTGCTCTCGTTCCATCGTTCAAATTGTCCAGGACTGCCTGCAACTGCACGTACGAGACACACACGAAGCACCTCTTGCATACTCGCTCCATCCATCCTTGACCTTGTCCACCGCGAACCCATGCTCCCTCCCCCCCCCCATCTCATATGACCTTTTTCGGGACGCTGGCGCGTCGCGTCACAGAAGAGTAAACGGCCCACAGCTGCAGATCTTTGCATGCTCGATCAAATCAACGCCAGCTATCGCGAACTTCATCCATATGCTGGCAAACACCGCTGTACGCTCTTTTTAACCCACTGGGTCGTGCGCTGGCCCGTGTTCTCGATTCTCGGTTCTCAGCGCTTCTTATTGGTTTTCCCCACGATTTGATGGTCATTCCTGCTGACTGTGCCCCCGTTTCTTTGTCCCTCTTTTCTCCTGCGTGTTACAACTCTTGCAGCCGGCAAGCGCGGTGTCATTTCCTGCAAGATTGCACACATGTCCCACGGCGCATTTCAGGAGGACAAGCTCATTGGCCCCTCGTTGCACATCGACAGCCTGCTGTCGAGCTCCACCCCGCGACAACATGAATCGGTGCCAGACAGCGCCTGGAAATCAGCCAAACTTGTTGAACACGAAGATGGGTTCATGGTCAAGTCCAAGAGCCTGTTTCACAAGACATTCTTTTTCCCTCGCCCGGTGAGTCGCGGCATGTTGCACCCCTGTCTACGATTGCCGCACAAGTTTGCCGTGCTCATTTCGCAGTGACTTGCTCATGGGACGACCTGGGCGTGTAGGGCGACAAGATTGTGCGAGTCTGCTTGGACGATGCTGAGTTTGTCATCTCCATCATCCGTCACCACCACGAGTACTTGATCAGCTTCCGCAACCTGCAGGAGCTCATGCCCCTCATGAGCAATCTGGTACGAACGCTGCCTGTATGTAGAACATTTGATTGCCCATGATCGCCTCACTCTTTCCCCATGTGTTTGACTCGTTGACCGCCTGTAGGAAAATCAGGCGGTTTTGCAGTCCGATCTGGAGAATGGCGCCAATGGCACCGTCCAGGTGTACGACCAAGCCATATCAGGCTGGACCAACGTCTTCTTTTTGACATGGAAGCAGCATTTGTTCATTGGCAGTCGTGAATGGAATACCACGTCTACCTCGGTGTGTTGCTGGTTCTGCTGCCACACACAAACTACAGCGTAAAATTCTCATTTTCGATGCCTCTCTGGGCCTGTTGTTCTGCAGATTCTTTGCCGTCAAGATGCGCCCTTCAACAAGTGGCCCCTGGAAGCAGACAGGCACGCCTGCCTGGTACTGCAAAATGGCCGGGAATTGGTGCCCATTGTCGCGCGCAGCCCGGCCCATGCTCGGTACGTCGGATGTCACGCTTGGCAGCGCCAGTGCAGTATCTGTGGCCCCCGAGCTTCCCCTACTGGCTTTTCCTGCTCTTACCTCCTTTCTTGCACTTTTGGCAGAGTGCTGGTCTATGACCTGCTTCAGGCCCATGTGGCGCAAACCTGGGAGGTCCGTGTATTTGAGGAGGGTGATGGCAACGTCTTTATGGACGACGAAACCTTGTCCCCGACCTCTCCTCGCCGTGTCAGCACAATTATGGAGCTGCCCGAAGGAAACGAGACCACTGCACAGCCGGCCCCAAAGCCAAATGGCAAGCCTGTTCGGCGCGGGTACGACGCCTGCCTTGTCATTCGTATCTTCACCCCTGAATGCTCGTATAGATCTCTTGCTTACGTTCCACCACCCTGCACTGCGTGCAATTTGGCCTCTAGCCGTTCCACTACAAAGCGGCGTTCCGGTTTTTTCAGCCGGTCCTCCCAGCCTGGTAGCGGTGACTATGATCTCAAGTCCAATATCGACATCGAGATTCGCAGCCCCATGCGTGCTACAATGAATGCTGCCGGCGAAATTCGGGTTTTTCGCCGCACCTACTTTGCAACCATGACCCGCGCTGATTTTCTCGAATATAGCCAAAGCTTTAGCAAACCAGGTCAGCGCATGACCTTGAGACCTATTCTTGCCGGCCAGGAGTTTTGTGTTGACCCACCGCTCATTGCTGCTGTAACCATCTTGCTGCAGACGACCGGGACAAGCGGCGGTCCCTCGGCTCGTACAAGCTGCAGGGCATGGACTGTGGCAGCATTGAAGAGTACTTTAAGGTCAGTTTGCCTCGAGTTGTCTTTCATACGACCTGATTCTCGACGTCTCATCTGATGCTCCCCGCCTTCCATAGTATAACTTGGCGATGGACACCTTTGAACAATTTTGGCTATCTAACAGGATTCCCCGAATTGGAGAGCGCCAGCTCTTCGAAGGTGGCGGGCGGCTGCCTTCCCGCAAGGGTAGCAATGTACGCACCGTAACTGCTTCTGCACTGCGTCCTGCCTGCCGGGTTCTTTGCTCATGTGCTCGCTTTACTCTTGCTCCCTCGCTGCACAGTATGTCATGACAGTGGTGTAAAAGTCAAGCAACCTTTTCATGCCTGACTGACGCCGACCGAGTGGGTCCGGAGGACCAGACTGCAAATCATCAGTATCCAGGTTTCTTGTCAATTAAAAAAAACAAAAAAAAAAATGAAGATGAACAAGATTATACAGTCCTTCTCCTTTATCGCCACACAACCATCAGCAACAACGTAGGCCTAGAATAATTCACAGCCAACACATGGACGTAAAAACAGAAGAACAAAGCACAACAGTGCTACAATTAAGGGCTTGCCAACCACGCCACTTTCACACGGCCCTGGGGAAGTCGAAGCTCACGGAGCCATCCCCCAGCAGATGAAAGAACAAAGAACAAGACTAGTCATCTAGCATACACAGCAAGGCTGTGCCGCGGTTAATCCAGTGAGACGGCGGCAAATCTGTGCGCAGATCCACGGCCATGACATAGTTGGTCGAATGACCAGTTGTTGACAAGATGCCGCGGCGAGCTGATGTCTTGTACAGAGGCCTAGAATTCGATAACACAACGGGCCAACCCAACGGTGAGTCCGGCCTCAGGAGAGAAAGTCAGGACCGAGAGTCAAAAAGCAAACGCAACACTCACGAGACATAGACGGAGCGGTCGGGCTTTTTGCTCTTTTCCACAGGCATCAGATGCATGCAGGGCAGGGCATCTGTCAAGACCTTGGGGCGCTGCTCGCCCAGTTGCATCCGCTCACGATCCCAGCGCGCGCCCTCCAGGAAGAGGCCATACACAAAGACTCCGTCTTCAGGACCCTTTGTAATCTACGCCCAAGACACAAGTGTCATTTGACGTGAGCATAGACGCAGAGCAAATTTCAACGCAACGAAAAGAGGGCAGAGCAGACATACCGTCTGGGCATCTTCGGCCTCGATGGAGAGCACCTCAAAGTCAAACGTGAGATGATCAATGGGAATCTTATACTTGCGCGCAAAGTTTTGTTGGGCCCCCGTCAGGAAAGCTTGCGTGAAGAAAAAGCCAGACAGCCAGAAAGTCGCGGGCGTGCCATTATCAATCCAATTTTGCAAAAATGTCAAGCGCTGCGAGCAAAGTTGACCGGATTGAGAGGGGGGCAGCGAGGGTACACTCGGCGTGCATGGTACAAGGAGTGATCAGAAGCATGACCTGGCCAACGTACCTCCACCAAGTCGCTAATGTAAGAGCCGAGCGGCTTCAAGGAGGGATATGACACCTTATCCCACAGCTTGGGAACCCGGCCGACCAACATGCTCTGGAAGACCTCCTCAAGCTCGCCAGACATGAGCACCAAGCCTATTGGGATACGAGGTAAACAAGTCAGATTAGGATGAACACAGGAAGCAAAAATTATATGGAAGAACGCTCTCTGCGACAAAAGCAACAATATAGCTAGGCAACCACGACTCACCCTTGATCGCCTTGCGCACGTTCGATAGCGAGCCCCGAATCACATTGACCAAGCGATTGAAGCGGACAACTTCCTGGGCCAGTACCGTGTTCATGGACTCAGAGTACATGACGGGGAAGCGCTCCAGCACCTCCTCATGGCTAAAGGCGGGTGGAACCTTGGACAAGATATCCTGTGCCAGTTCATCAATCGTGTCGTTGGCCGAGCGGCCACCGCTCGAGGCCTGCCGTGGCAGCGTGAGCAGAATCGAGGAAAAGAGCTCATTGGTCTCCTTTTGGTCTTTGGTGATATCTGCGTTCTCGTGCAGTCCAAACACTTCCGGATGCGGAATCAGGGGCAGTCCCTTGATGAAGGAGAGATAGTCTGCATATGTGCCCTTGGCTGGCGCAAAGTATGTCCCGCTCGGCGAAAAGCGGTATTCGTCATTCGTGACGGTTTCGTCCGAATAGAAAATGCCGAGGAGACTGCCCAACAAGCGGCGATCCCAATCGTCAGTCACGCGACCACCATAGTTGCACTGGCCACACAGGTACGTGAGGGCCGGCAACGGCAGAATTTCGTAGTCGTTGAGGAACATTTGCATCTGCCGAATGCTGATGCGCAAATCCGACTCGTTAAACTCGTACGGAATATTCCAACCCAACGCGCCAAAGTTACGGCGTTCTTGAATGAGGCCGTGGAAGAAGCAGAGCGCAAACAGCAGCTTTTCCCAGCGCTCCGGAGTCTTGCAAGCCCCAAAAAACTCGGGATCGGAAATAGGATCGTTCAGGTATGAACGCAGCAGATTGTTGCGCAAGCCCTTGGGCGGCTCGTTGGTCATTTTGACACCTGCAGCGCGTGGACCCGGGCATGGACACAAACAGAACGACGCGCACAGAGTCAGGGCACGCACACATTCATGTAAAAATTAACACCAACTGTTACCTTCAGCAAAGAGGAACGCACCGTTTTGAAGAATCGACACCGGGAAGTCATCGGTGGGATACGACGTGAGCCAGAGACGGAAGTCCTTGTGCGTCTTTTCCGGGATGAGGACCTCCTCGGTCAAGTACTCAAGCTTGGGCAGCCAAGACGTGTACAAGTGACAATTTTGCAACACGACCCAGGTACCTAAAGGATGCACAGATATCAACAGGCCAGCTCAGCATGAGTTGTACATGGTGCATGAAGCAAGAGGAGGCTTGGCGCTCTAAACCAGTCATTCCAAACTCACCCTTCACCATGGCATCGGCAATAAGTTGCTCGGCGATAGGGCCTTGGCCTTGACCTAAAGATATCGTCTTGGGCGCGCTGTCCCCGACAAAGCCCTTGGCCTCGGCAAACTTGAGCAGAGAAGCCATCGGATCGGCGCCGGGCGAAAGCACGAAAATCAATGCTGCACAAGAGTGCGAGTCGGCATAGGAGCCGGCCAGGTCGAACGTTGGGGGCTCTGTATACCGCTGCCCCATGTGCTGCGACACAAACTGCTGCACTCGTGGCACAATCTTGTCCTATTCAGGGGAGCGAGAACACAATCAGGGTGATGTGAGAAAGAAATGTGATGCGTAGAATCAAACATGGTAACTTGTTTTAGAATCAAGGCAAAAACCAAGGAAGAGAAGTAAAAAAAAAAAAATAAGCAGCAAAACGTACTGGACGCAGGCAACGCAGTAGGATGAGCTTTTGCATGGCATCAAGGCGCTCCTCCCAAGGACCTGGTAGAGGCTCCGTATGGGGGCTTGCACTATCGTAGAACTGCTTGAATAGCTCGGGGTTTTGCTGTACATCCTCGCGCAAGCCGATGAAGGTTCCTCGCGGCAATGATTCGGTGCGTACAAGCTCACCCCAGGACTTGTCCGAGAGCCACGCTGGTGCCGGGTTGGGGTGTGGGTTGTCCAGTCCCACACCACCGGTCAAAAGGAAGCGCCACTCGGCATCATCAATCTCACCACGGCGAGCCATCAGCTGCACCGTCAGGCTGAATGAGAACAACAGTTTGTCCTTCTCAAACAAGGAACGACACACGTTGCGGTAGATGGAGTAGGTAAAGTGATCGTTCAAGTTGTGGATGCGAATGGCCAGCTCCTCGGATTTGGCAGAATCCCGGATCGAGCGGCGGTACAGATCGGTGAACCATGTCAGTGAATACTGATACATGGGCTCAATGTTGGCTAGCTCGGCGATGGCAAAGAAAAGCGTAGCTGAATGCTCGGCGACTGGGACATAGCCATTGCGCGTCTCATCAATCTCCTTGGACGTCGTCTCAGCCACCACCTGCTTCTCGGAGATCTCCAAGGACAGGGTCTTGGAGGATGAGAGGACGTGGATGGCAGTTTCGTCCTCTAGAATGTTCCCTTCAGAGGATGAGAGGACTTCAAGGATCTTATCCTCGATTTCCTTGAGCTGGCGGTTGTTGGCTGCCGACTCAAGGATCAGCTGGTTCTTCTTCTCCTCCAGCTCGGGGCGCTCTTCGGCCGCAACGATGCCCAAAAGTTGGTCGGTCAAGCCCTCGGGCGTGATCATAAAGTTGAGCAACGTAATCTTCACGGCAATCTCGGGCAGATAGTGCGGGTTGCGCAGCCGTGTGGTAATGTAAAAGCGGAAGTCGGGACTGTACTCGATGACGTTTTCGCCGACGCGAATCAAATCCACGCCACCTTGCTTGAAGGTCTGCTTGAGGAGGATGCTCTCCAGGATGGGGTCCAATTGCTCCGCCACGTTTTCCAACAAGCACGGGTGGCCAAATTGAATGCAATTTTCCAGCGTGCGCACAAAATTGGCGTCGGAGAGCTTGATGACGGCCAGCTTGTGGTTTTTCTCCATATTCTTCACCCACTTGTTAGCCTGGCCTTGAGGGTCAATCATGAGCGGCCAGCGACGGGCGCTCTGCACAATAATACCGTTGTCCAATCTGCCAGTCACGGATCAGCACCGGTCGGCCCAGGGTGGCATTGAGCGAGAAACCTGGTGAGCAGGGAATGGATTTGTCTTGGCACAGTTTGCTCCATTCCTCAATGCAGCGCTGTCGGTAGGTCACGGTAAAAGCGCCGAGGTAGGCCACGACGCCCGAGGACAACAGAATATCGCCGGTCACACGCGTGTAGGTTTCACCCAGGTCTGTGGCCAATTGGGTCCAGCGTGACCGCTCTCCACCCAGTCCACCAATCAGCTGCTCAGCGCGCTCGAGCTTCTTGGCACACAGGTCAATGTTAAAGGCGAGCTCTTCTTTCTTCTTCACCATGGCAGCAAGCTCATCCTTCAAGGCCTGGAGCTTGTCGGTCACGGCCTTGAGCTCGGCGCGCTTCTCCTCAAGCTTGGCCATTTGCACGGCCAGCTCGGCCTCGGCCTCGGCCAACTTGGCCTTCTTGGGCGCCACAACCTTGGCCACGCGGTCATACACCTCCATCGCGAGGACCCATGAGCAGAGACCCACTGCGGCGGCTGATACCTTCTTCAAGGGCTCCGGTTGAAAGTCCTCGTTGGTCGCAAACTTCTCGCGGATGACCTTCATGGCTTTGGGGGAGATGTTGTCCTTGTCATAATCCTTGAGGGATTGCAGGAACTTCATGTCACCAAGCAGACGCTTGGATGGGCCCCAAAAGTCTTCCACCATCTTGCCACTGCCTCCGGGATCCTTGACGCGGTCGCTTTTCACGCCCTTCATGACGCAGACAGCTTCCATGACCATCTTGACACCGGCAGGTGGGTTTTTCATGGCCTTGACTTCACCAATGTCACTGGGTTTGAGGGTATCCAGGGCTTTGATGGCGTTTTCAAGCGCCGGAAGCGCCACGGCCAGGTCTTGCTCGCACTCTTGCTTGATGGCATTGGCTTCCGCCGCAGCCTTGGCGGCAACGGCTTCATCCGCTGCGACCAGCTCCTTCTTGGCATCTACCTCCACTGAGTCGGCTTCGATCTGCTTCATCTTGATGGCCACTTCTTCCGAGGTTTTGACCAACTCGGGCTGCAGGGCGACGAGTTCTTCCTGCATGATTGCGACCTGGCTTGCAGCAAAGTCGAGCTTTTCCACGCCGACGCTGTAGCGCGACTGCAGCGTGGAGATCTCATTGCGCTTCATGTCCAGCAGGCCCTTGAAAGTTTGAATCAGCTCCAGGTAGGAGGTGGGTGTGACGTAATTGTAGCGGCGCAGCTCGTCGTAGAAGGAGGCCGATAGGGCGCGCACGGATTCGTGAAAATGCTTGCACATGGACACGACTTGAACGCGGACCTCGGGCTCGAGCTCAACGCTCTCCAGAAACTTGTCTGCCACCATCTCCAAGGCGTCCTCAGGCCAGGCCCGGAACCAGTCAATGGTGCAGCAATTGATAAGCGAAGGCAGCTGACGCAGGCGCCGACGGAACTCGTCGCCAATGGGAGACATGGCCAAAACGATGTGCAGGTTGGCACGAACGCGTGAAATGAAAAAATTGTACATGGCCAACGGTGAGGTGTCCACATTGGTGCGCCGCTGCTCCTTGAGGACAGCGCCCATGCGCTCGATGATCTCGGCTTTCTCGTCGGCCGCATAGAGATTTGGTACGTCACCCGTATTGAGTAGCATGTTAATGTCCTCCAAAAATGCTTCGTCCTTGATCTGGTTGTCGGAGAACAGAAAGACGGTGGACTTGCCATCGTAACCCGATAACCGATGCATCTTCTTGATGTCCTCGCGCCAGTCTGAATAGCTGTAGGTCTTGGTCAGCTCGATGCGGAAGAGCGTATACTCGGCCATGGCAGCGGCCAGCTTGGTGCTGCTTTGACGGCCGCTACCACCAATGCCAACCAACAGAGCGTGGCCATTGGGCTGCTTGATGATGCGTGCAAGGCGGCTGACGTGCTCGATGGCAAAGCGGAACATGACCAGAGACATGGGGGTCTTGCTCAGCTGGTTGTACTCGGTGAGATACTCTTCCATGGTCTCGCGAAGCCTGTCCATGTCTTGCACCTCGTCGTACACTCGCGGGTCTGCCCCGGGCTCCATAAAGTCACCAAAGAACAGCGACCGCAGGTCGTCATCCTGGAGACCGACCGCCTGATCTGAGACGAGGTGTGAGAAGAGCGTCTGACTGTCAACCTTGAAGTGCTCTTTGGTGACGTCGCGCACAACACCAAACAGGTAGGCGCGGTCGTCGTCGTCCACGAGACGATCGTAGAAGACACGATAAACCTCATGCACCCACAAGCGCACGAGCTTGTTGCTCTCGGTGAGGTGTGAGGCTGGCACAAGCATCACGCCCTGGACAACGCGTGCAAAATCGCGGAGGTTAAAGGTGTAGTGGCTCTTGGCTGGCGTTGGCAGGAGGTTGGTGACTGCAGCCTTGTAGACGGCAGCCGACGCCTGCACGAGGGATTGACCCAAACGCTTGAACGATCCATCGTAGCCGCGACCAAAGTGCCAGTCCATGATGGTGCCAAAGATTTTGACCATGGTGGCGTCGTCAAATGACTCGATGCCAATGACGTCCAGGTGGCGCAAGAAGCGCGCCGAAATGTCGTTGCGGCCGCCACCGGGTGGACCCATGGCCGAGACGAGAAGCAAGTCAACGAGGTCAATTCGGCTCGTGTCCTTGAGGTCGTACCAGTGCCAGTGATCCAGCCAGGTGCGCAAGAGCTCAATGGGTGGCTGAGCGCCATACGTTTCTTTCTGTGGCATGTTCAGATCATCAACAAAGACAACACAGTGTTTACCCATGGGCGGGCCATAGACGCCCTTGCGGCGGCGATCGAGCTTGGACATGATGATCTGCTGCGTTTGACCGGCAGTAGTGCGCGCCGAGAAGGTGATGTTGTTGGGTACAAAGCGGTCCTTAGGCAATGCCATGAGATGACTCTCGACGATGGCTGACTTGCCCGTGCCTGTGGGCCCCACGAAAAGGATGGGCACCTGGTGATCGAGATGCTGTTGCAGGAAGAATCGTTGGCGCACTGTGTCAATGGTGGGGACAATGATGCCATTTGGCGTGGCGTCGTCCGGAATGTCAAGCGTTTCGATGAGATCGTTCCAGTGTGCCCAGCTGCCGTCGCGGAAAACAAAGTCGTGGAGGAGGCCGCGTTCTGGGGGGATGGAGCTCTTGCCCAGCTTGATGGTTTTGGGTTTGGTTACGACATCGCTATTCCCCAGGAGGGCCGCTCGCACAAATTCATCAAACTTGGGGCGGTCGGCACCCACGAGCTGCCCACCCACGCCCCAAGTGATGGCAAAAACAAAGAGGGCCTCGAGTTGGGCCGACGTCTGCGCGTCGCTTGGGGGCGCCTCGCTGCGCCAAGGGTCCAAGAGACAGTCCAGCACGCGAATGGCCGTGCGGGCCAGATGCACGGAGGAGGTGGGCACAAATAAGCGGAGTTGCAGGCGCACAAACTTGAGCACCGGGTTCATGAGCCAGGTGAAGAGCTCACGCAGATAGCCCGCGTGGCCGTCATCGCCGGCCAAGGAAGTGGGTAGATCGCTCAGCCAAGACTCGAGCGAGGGCTCCCACCCCAGCTTGTGGGGTTCGAGATAGATCATGCCACAGCGAGAAACTGTGGCTGGCGAGGCCACCAGCAAATCCTGAGGCTCAAAGATGAGGTTCATTTGGGCGGACATGGCAATGATTTCACCAGACATGAGGCAGAGCTTCTTGTTGTCGTCAAGCACTGTGTTCATGTTCTCAATCCACACCGCATCAACAGGGCCGTCAAAGAGCAGCCACTTGCGATCCTCCGTGATGGAGCTGGCCTGGTCACGATAGGTGTTGGCCAGGACGCCGTCAGACCACTCGTGGGAGACGGGATCAAAAGAGCCGTACAACTCCTGCATAGTAATGGATTTGGGATTAATGATGTTGACAAGAACGCGATGTTCGTCCATGAGGCCAGCCTCCTCGAGATCAGCAAGCGCATCAGCAAGGACTTTCCAGGCCACCGTCTTGCCGGAGAGGGGATCGCCGACAATCATGAAACCGTGGCGCACCAGCATCATCTCGTAAATCTGAATGATTTTCATCATGTGGTAGTCAGTGGCCTGCATGTTGTGCTTCGCAAAGTTCTCACGCAGGGCCCGTGAGATGTGGTCATAATCGGGCTTGGGAAGCTCAATGCCTGGGAAAAGATCGGATGTAATGCCCTCAAATAGGGGCACGTCGTGTGAGAGAAACTTGGGCAAGTTCACGTCAATGATTGAGCGCAGCATGAGCACCGACTCGTTCTCCTGCGGATACTTGAGCTTGAGGTTGCCAGCGGCCGTGAGAACAGCTTTGACAGCACGCATGCCATAATCGTAATGGGATTGCGAGGAGAGCTGTTCGGAGCAGAGCCGATAAACCGCCACAATCTTTTGGGCCAGAGCACGGGCGTCGACAAAGCCCATCGAGTAGAGCATGATCTCACCAATCAGGGCATAATCAGGCACCATCATCGCGACGGTGCGGAAGAGGACCTTAAGGTTGTCGGGCAGCTCCTGGCGACCGGCGTAGCCCGGGTTCATGGTGATGAAACAGTTGCAGTTGCGATTCAGATTGATGTCAGTTCCCTCAAACATGAAGCGATCCAGGCGGCGGGTCTTGGCATAGACGATGCTGTGGATCTGCTGCGCCACGACGGAAAGCACCTCGAGCTCGATACGATTGAACTCGTCGAAACAGGCCCAGGCACCAGCAGCGATGAGACCCTTGAAGAATTTGCCCATGGCCTTGTAGTCAAGGCCATCGGAGCAATTGAAGACCACGCACTGGATGGCCACGGCCTTGGCCAAATCCTTGGTGGTCTCTGTTTTGCCCGTGCCGGCAGGGCCTTCGGGAGCACCGCCAAGATCAAGTAGCAAAGCGCCCATGAGGGTGCGGTAGCAGCGATCCGTGAGTGGGGTTATGACGAGGCGGCCGCTGTTGCCCAGATACTCGTAGCCGTAGCGCACGTTGGTGGTGATCATCTTGACCATGACGTCGTTGTCATTGGGACTCTCGTCGCAAGGCTCCCAGTAGTAGCGAAGCTGGGCAATCCAATCAAAATCCGTCACGCGCTGGATACCGTCGTCCACGAGCTTGGCCACGACATCGCGCGCATGGACGTCAATGACGGTGAGCGCTGACAGGGTATTGCGCAAGGACTTGGGCAGTTTACCACGAACCATCTCCACAATGCCATTGATCTGGTCGTTGCTCTGTTGCAAAAACTCGCCCAGGGGACGGTTGGCCTCAAAGGCGCTTTCCACGGCCATGGTCCAGTAAATGGAGCTGACGGCCAAAACGACCTGCCCGGGCCAGTCCTGGACCCACTGGTTGCGTGGAGCCTTGGCATAGGCATCAACGCTCTGTTGCATAACCTTGTGTAGGCTGGAAATCATGGTTTTGCCCACTTCATCCAGCCATTTTTCGACCATGCCCTTGGCGTCAGCAGGTACAAGGACCTTATCAAACTGCACCTCCTCCTGCTCCGAAGAGATCATGGCGCGAATCTGCTGCTTGTCATCAAAGTTGAGGCGGGCAATGCCTTCAAAGCATTTCTTCAGATGCGGTTGCACGCGGGTGGGGTCCTTGGTCTCGGAGAGGATTTCCAACAACTCGTCGTTGGAAAGGAAGAAGAAGCGCGGAAAGAAGAGGCGCTTGACCTCGAGATACTTGTTGAGCCCCTTTTGGATGTCGTCCAAAAGACCATTAGCCTCACGCAAAATTGAAAGCATGTTCGGCTGATCCGTGCACACGGTGGCATGACTATCTTCCAAGCTGACCGCCATGATCTGGCGCCAAGATTTGTCCACGATGGTGAACTTGCGCCCTTCCTCGGGAAGCTGAGCCATGATATCTTCCGAGGAAAAGATGGGCTCCAGATACAGCCATGTGGCCTGCACCTTGAGCCACTCATCCAGAATGTCCTGCATGCTGATGAGCTTGGCCTCCCACTCCTTGATCTCCTCCTCAAAGGGCTTGATGAAAGGGGAACCTCGCATGGTCTGGGTCTTGACAATGTGGTCGTCCAGGAGCATTTGCACCTCGTCAATACCACTGAGGATGGAGACGCCGGTGTCGCGATAAGGTACGAAAGCGAATTCCATGTCGGTCCAGTCCTGCTTCATGCTGCGCAGCGCCTTCTCGAGAGAAAATTCCTTGCTGGCAGCGGCCCCAATATCCTCGAGCGCCGTGGCATGGTTGGCCAAATTCAGATTGAGCATCTGGGCCAAGGTGGTATTTTGGTCCGGCTGAACGTCGTAACCCGTGAGGTCGGAAATCTTTTCCCAGTGACGGGCCTGCATACCTGGGTTGCAAATGACCTGGATGATGGGGACGTTGACGCGAAACTCCTCCACCTTGTTGCGAAGCTGATCGGCCGTCTTTGAAGGCCCATTGTAGTTGGTAAGCTGCTTGGCCAGCTTAAACGCCACGCGGAACAATGTCCCCAGCTCTTCCTCCACCTCTTCAGCGTTGAGCGCCAAAAAGGAGCCGTTCATCCACTGTTCAGAGAGAGTGAAAAACTTGAGAGCCGTACGCCACAGCTTGTCGAAGGGCTCCACCACCGACTGTGTTTGTTGGATTTGCGGGAAGGGAGTCACCTCCTGCTCGAGCAGCTGTTGCTCGCGCTGGATGCCTTCAGCCTGTAGAGAACGAGGCAATGAGCGAACACAGTCCACAGGAAAAAGAATGTTTGAGTGCGAAACACAAAGACCCAAAAAGCCCCACCTCTTCCTGGGCGGCCTTGAGATTGCTTGCCAACTCATCCAAGGATTGGACGTTGCGCTGAATATCGGCCATGCGCAAAGGATCTGACCCAAAGAAGAGAAAATGAGGTGAGATGCATCTTCAGGCAGCACAGCGCTGTAGTAACGGATGGAAGACAAACCAAGAAGATTCTGATAGCTTTCGGCAGTTTCAAAGTAAGTTTCAAGCGCAGCCTCAAAGTCCTTGACGCGCTGCACAAGCTGCACTTCAGCGGCTTGCCGGTGCTCATTGACGCGGCGATCGGCCACATCGAACATGGGCTCCAGCTTGGCGGGCCACTTGATGGTGGTTGTGTTGAGCTTGACATGGTCCTCGTTGAGTTCGGCAAACTCGAGCAAAAACCGCAACCGCTCACCGGCCTCTGTGATCTCTGCCTGTGACACAGAATCGGCGCGAAGGATCGAGCAAGTGAGCATGGCCAGATGAGGAACTCATTGAGATGGAGACAACAAGCACCGTACTTTCAACTTGAAAATTGTTTCAGCGCGTGTTTCCTGTAGATATTCCTCAAGAGATTTCATGTCTTCGGAGGATTGTGGCTGCTCCATCAGGCGATTGGCAATGGCGTCAAAGCGTTCGCAGATGCCGCGATTGAGTTTGCGGTTGTTTTGAGTCACTGTGGACACGAGTGTGTCAATGAGGCTTTGGCAACGCTCGCGCAGGGTGGCCTGAGCCGGTGTGATGTCGATGCAGACCAAGCCCATGGGCGCGGTGGGCCGCAGGTCGTCGATCTCGCGACAGAGATCTTGGAGCTTCTGGATATATGATCGATATGCACTGAGGGGCTTGTCCTTGGCGCAGAAGTCTGCAACGGCAGCCTGCTCCTCGCTTCGCTCGTTGGGCGGTGCGAGGAGGTGGCGGAAACGGTCAAACATTTCAAGATAGCGCGCCGGTCCGGGTTTGTTCGCTTCGATAATCGCCATGAGGCGCTCTCGTGTCGTGATGACGTGCTCATCGTCTGCAGTCGCGCACGGAATAAACAGATCTTCTCGGTCCCCCAACTCGGGAAACACGCGCTTTTCCGGCCGCGGCACCTGCTCGGCCACCTGTGTGCATGGGATACACGAGAGTAAGGATGAGCGAGGCTTTGAAGCGGTGAGGGACGAAATGTGGGCATATGCGTGGAATGCCGGGATAAGATTGGACACGCACTTGAGCAATGGCCTGGCAGTGGCCACTGAAGGCAGCGGCCACTTCGTCCCACGATGGGTCCAGAGTAACATCTGCATCCTGAACGTGCACAGCCATGCGCACGAGAGGACGACGAGCAACGTGGGCATCGGTGTACTCCCCATCGTAGGCATTGCCTCCAGCGTAGGGCTCGAGCAATTCCTGCAGGTAAGTCTGAAGAGACTGGCGAATACAGCCGCGGAGCTGGTTGGACATGGTTGAACAGGCAGCAGCAAAGATGTGCTCCAACCGCTGGAAGCCGCGAGCCGCTTCCAGCGGATCCTCCTTGTCCACACGGTGGTACCAAGTGTCGCGCAATGCCATCATGATCTCAGCGGCATCCGCCGTCCATTCTTGGCGCAGTTGCTGTGTCAATAACCGGATGGTAAACAAGAGGTCAGCGTACAGGACGAAAAGCACAAGCAGAGAGTAGGAAAGTCCTGCATGTAACTGCATGTGAAGAACTGTTTTGATTTGTCTCAGAAACGCCAATCCCGATCAACAAACCTTTTGGGCCTGAACACAGTGTTGTTGAATGAGCGCATTGAGGTCGTCGAGGAGGAAGCAGCCATTTTGAAAAACTTGCTCAGTCACCGCCGCGGCGTCAACGCAACGCAGGGAATGGAACTGGAGATGCCAGAGGTGACCCAGGGCGATCAGCATGGGCTCTGTGATGTTGATACCATCGCTGCAAGCATTGCGGGCCTGAACCACGTCATCGTGCCAGGCCACGGGGGCCCGGATGGTGCGTGGAACATGGATAGCTGGCATGGCCTGAATCTGGAGTCGTTCGCGCTCGGACTGGTCTTCAAGGAGATAACGCAAAATGGCCTCCTTCATACTGGCAATGTAGTCAGCCTTGATCTCGTCCCATAGCTGAGCTTGGACGGACGGCTCGCCGTGCTGGTCGTCGAGGGGAGGAGGCTGAAAGGCGATGCGCGCATCTACTTCGGCATACAAGGAGCGTGTGACGGGGAGATTGGTATCCTCATCGAACATGACCATGGCCTCGCCTATGAGTAAAGAGGGCATTGGAGAAAGGACGTCAGGGGTTGTGAAACATCCACGTGGTGACAGGCGGCAGGCATGGCCATGAGGGGCAGAAAGCTTACCGAGTGGGGCAAACTGGTTCTCGTGAAAGGCATTGTCGAGGTACCATTGGACGCGCTGCAAGTCTTCGTCTGAGGGCTCGGTGTGACCAGCATTTGGAGCTTCGGCTTCACTATCTGAGTTGGTAGGTTCGGGATGTGTGGCTGCCATGACCTCTTGCTGCTCTCCCGGTGTCATGGGCCGGCTCAACGGGGGCAGGGTGTGGCGACCCTGAGGACACAGTACAATCAGTCAACGCAAGAGGTTTGATATCAGAATGAGAGGCAAGGCAATCATCGCAATCTGGAAATACATTCAGCAAAGGGGGATAATGACATACGCGGGCTGTTGAGCTCCCGTTGCGCGAGCTGGGACGCTTAGGCGGTTGCGGGCCTTTGCTATCAGTAGAGCGCTTGGCCGAAGCACTGCACCAAGAACAACACATGAGGAAGGGCTAATTAAAGAACAAGAACAGTTGTGCAGAAAGAAGACGACAAGGTATGTTACAAAGGAGGACACATTTGCAAACCTGGCCAGATCCCGAAGCTTGAGGTCAATGGCAGCAGGGGAATAGACGTTGCCAATGGTTTCTGAAGGGCTGCGGGTGTGGACTTGCTCCTTGTAGGGTACTAGCTGGGTCCATGCATCAGCGCTCTGCAACAAGGGCGGATACTTGTTGTGTTCACGGATGCGCTGTGGTCGGTGAAGAAAACGAGGCAGAGGCAGAGCATGAGAAGGAGCAGCGAGCGTCGGGGGTGGGTCGGGAAACACGGGTGCGCAAAAGTGAATGTACCGCAAAGAGGTCATGGGTCCCAGCGGAATCGCCAGCAGCAGAGGCGGACACGGGCGGCAATACGGCATGGCCGTTGCCTGGGCGCATGGATGACTCCATGATTGGCCCGGGGTCCGGCCACCCGGCCAGGCTCAGCCAATCAGGCGTCGGTCAGAACAAGAGGCACCGAAGCAAAGAAGCGGGTGATGTGGGTCAAGAAAAGGACTACGCCCGCACAGTGTTCACGCGGCTGGTCAAAAGGCCGGCGTCAAAATGGTAATATCAGTCGGGATCCGATCTACTTGACTCAACCGCGGTGGTTTAAGATGAGCTAGCGCGACGTAGAGCGTGGCCACGTCCCGATGATCATGTGCTGCCTCTTTCTTCTTGAAATTCCCTCCTCCTTCTCCACCCCACTGCAGTCCAGACTGATGAAATTTGCACAGAGCAGGTAATGCTTTTCCAGCAGATCACCCCCTCCCAGGCAAACCCAGCAGCGAGCGCATCGCTGCCAGACCGGTGACCCGCCGACGCGCCCTCTCTCGCTCTCGCTCTCTCTCTCTCCATCTGCGTCGCGTTCACTTACCCCGTCGCCAGGGACAGATGATCCTTTTGACAAAAATGATCGCAATTTTCGCTCAACATGGCAACACCTTTGAATGCAGATCCCCTTGTCATTGTCAGCCATTTCTATATGTAAAGTAAAATACTTTATTAGTAAAGAAGCCGTTGACTTTGGACGTTAACGGTGCTGGAAGGATGCAGAACGCAGTTGAGTGACTTCTCTCGATGAAGCTTTGATGAGATGGACATCTCTGGTTCAAATATACAATTTCCTAGTATCTCTAATTTGGCATCGATTTTGCTTTGGCCTGCTCCCTGACCAAAGCAGTATCTCTAAACTCCTCTTGTTCCAATACACACTCTCTCGCACTTTCTTTTCAACTTTCTCTCTCTCTCTCTCTCTCTCTCACTCTCTCAAACTTTCAAAATCGATCGGCGGTCGCAATGGCAGCACGACACGAGGGACGAATGCTGCCGGCCAGTGGAAGGCGCAAGCGTGACCTGACAGATGAGGAACGTCAGGAGATTCGCGAGGCCTTTGAGCTGTTTGACACGGACAAGGATGGGGCCTTGGATTACCACGAGTTTAAGGTGTGTCGCTCGCCCGCATATCAGCATCGTTGACTCGTCACGTTGTGTGCGTATCGGCGGTGTGCTGGCAACCTCATGATGGACCGCTGCATAGGTGGCGTTGCGAGCTCTGGGCTTTGACGTGAAGAAGGCTGAGGTCTTGAAGCTTATGAAGGACTTTGACCGCAACAACGACGGGTTGATTGCTGAGCGAGACTTTTTCACCGTCGGTGAGCTGGAACGGTCGGCCGGCTGGTGGCCACATCGCCGCGCACACGCCCCGAGCGAGCACTCACCGTTGCACCCCGATTTTCGTAGCGGAAGAACGTGTGCTGGAGCGTAATCCAGTCGAGGAGATTATGAAGGCTTTCAAGCTCTTTGACGATGACAGCACTGGAAAAATTAGCATTCGCAATATGCGCCGTGTGGCAAGGTCCGGTGCAGAGTTGCCCCTTGAACATCCAGTGCCCTCAACACGGAGGGCTGACCTTTAAACTCCCTCCTGTGTGTCTCATGCCGCAGGGAGCTGGGTGAGGACATTCCAGAGGAAGAGTTGTCAGCCATGCTTGAGGAATTTGACCTCAACGGCGACGGTGAAAGTACGTTTTGCAAACATACCCCACAAGACAAGCCCGGCGCCCTTGAAGACGACGGATGAGCTGCCCAAGCCCCCATCTCATTGACGATGCCTCCCGTCCGCTGTGCCCCCGCCTTTGTAGTTGACCAAGAGGAGTTTATGGCAATCATGACGGCCGATTTTTGAGCAAAGCTCACGCCAACCTGTGTTGTGTGGTTGTTAGCTGGTCTTCTCACGCGCGCGCGCGCGCGCGTGCTCTGCGCGTTGAGAAGAAGCTTTTGTGTTGCTTCTCTTTGGTTTTTTTTTTTTTTTTTTCAATCTGTAGTTTTTTATTCTTTTTCCTTTTTTTCTCTTTTTTTTGGGGGGTGAGACAAGAGGATTGTCTGTTGTCTTGTATGAAGCGCAGCCGCATGCAACGGTGGGCTCGCTCAACGATTTCAGAAAGCTGCCCGCTATCACCGCTCGCCTTCTTTCACCCTCTGACCACCTCGGCGTCAAGCGCCCTGCAGACCACCCATCTTGTCTGCCACGATGCCAAAACGCGTTTCAATTAAGCATAATAAAGTCAAATCTGTTGCATGAAGAGCGACCTCGCGCAGTTGCCCTTATTCACGTGCATCTCAAGGGGGCACGTGGCTGCACGGCAGCAGAGGCAAAGAAAGACCGCAAGAAGTTGAAAAGGTTCACTACGAGGTCTCACCGGCCACAGCATAACGACCTTGGCGGATGAGGCGATCCTGCTTGCCGGACAAGGCATCCGAGGCCACGCGATCGTTCCCAAACAACACCAGGAACCGTTGTGCACGAGTGATGGCGGTGTAAACGGCCGGCTTGGTAGCCACGCTGAGGGCGTGCTCAGTGGGGTCGACCCCCATCATGACAATGACCACGGGAAACTGAGAACCCTGCGCCTTGTGAATGGTCGTGGCATAACAGAGCTCGAGCTCATTTCGAGCCTCTTCCCATGAGTACTTGCGTTCACGACGAGTACCTTCAAATTGCACTGTCACGGAGTAATTGTCCAGACGCGAGACGCGACCAATGTTGCCATTGAAGGCCTGGTGCTTGCGATTGTTGACCACTTGCATCACCTAGTGCCAGAAAATTCCCCAAGCATGAGGCTTGACAACGGCAAACAAGACCACAGGTTCTTAGACCAAACATGCCAGGACGAGCCCAACGTACGCGATCTCCAAAGGCATAATTAAACCGGCGATCGATCCGACGCTTTTGCTGCTGGGCAAAGTAGTCCTGCAAAATGCCGTTGATGCGAGAAACTGAAGCACTGCCTGCCTCGCGAAAGGACGTCAAAATCTGTACGTCGCGCTGCAAATCCAGATCGGGAAACTGCTCACGAAGCTGCAGGGCGACAGAACAACAGCAAAGTCGTACCAACAGGTGAGGTCTGGCACCTGCCCGATACTTCCCCCAAAACTAAAAAGGGGGTGTGGTCCTGATCTCGCCATTCTTGTGTGCGCGTTTGAGCTTGGGGATGCACGGGCGTCCGCTCAATGACCAACCTTCTCGAAAAGAAAGATGAGCTTGGGCTCGAGATCAGATGCCTACAGACAGTGTTGTGGATGTGAGTACGCTTGATCATTGCAGAACATTGATCACTGCAGAACAAAAGTCAACAAAGAAAAGCATGGTGGGCACGACAACTCACCGTCGCGGGCATGATCAGGCAGTCCGAGTCACCCAGCTCGCTGAAGGAGCGGGGCATGCTCTTGACGAGCACCGGCAAGTCTCGTTGATTTGCTGACGCTGCGGTTGCTAGTTTGGAAATGCTGCCTGCTTCAGACTATCAAAAAAATGCGCGTGCAAGCAGTGGGTGAGGTCATTGCACTCCACCTCAAAGAGACCCAAATCCCTCGAGTAAGAACGTGGGGCACCGTACAAAGCGATATTGCTGCGACAAGCGAACGGTTGGGATGTTGTGACGGTTGATCAAATGACCGAAAAGGCCTGGGGAATCGATCTGTTTGAATCAAGGCAAGATGAGCACTCGGTTATCAACATTGCCGGCATAGACAGCAATCAGCCAAGATTAAGGGGCGCGCAGGGTGGGCGCATCAAGGCTGCGCATCGCACCGGTGGCAGTTGGTCGGGATCGCCAATCAGGTACAAGCTAGCGTTGGGTGGCAAATTACTGCGAGATGCGCAACCGAGCGAGGCAGACGCGAGCGGAAAAAACGAGGTGCCACAAGGAATGAGCCGTCGGGTTGCCAACGCTGTGGCACGATACGCAAGAATCACAATCAGCACCACCAACCGCAAAAGAATTTCAAAGCACTCAAAGCTCAGCATGGAGGCTTCATCCACAACAAAGCAGCTCATGTCCGCGATGCGATCGGAGTATTGCTCTGTGGTGATGCGGAAGATCAGCCCTGGCGAGGATAGGCGGTGCAAGCGCAATCAAGGCCTCGGTGACTTACTCTCACTAAGAGTGTTGAGAGAGTGAATGGTGTGCGCATCGATCATGGTCCGCTCCTCGATCATGCGGACCGCACGCGCAGACAACGTCGTCAGGAAAACGTTTTTATGGCTGGAAGAGACAGGGAAGATGGCATCACCCATCAAGGCATTCGTTCATTAAATCATGGTAAATATAAATAAAAAAAAATAAAAAATAAAAAATAGTCGCGAAATGGCGAGCTGTGTCACCGAGGCATGAAAGATCGGACTGACTTGAGCTGTAGGGTGGCAACGAGGGCCCGCAGAACGGTGGTTTTGCCCACACCGGGGCCACCGGTCAAAACGGCCATGCGCTGGGAAAGCAGCTGATTGCAAGCAGCAATTTGGGAAGGCGACATGCCCTCACCAGCGAGTCCTTCGAGTTGGATGGAGCGACCATGTGCGCCTTCCTCCCAATGAGGCCGGAGAGCTGACATGCTCTTGAGGGTAGTAAGGATCTTATCGCGGCGATCATGGGCTGAGGAGCGAACGTAGCGATCGGCACCAAATTCTTTGACACGCTTGATTTGATCGCCGTGGTGGTCGAGGAGGTACTGCACATCACTTTTTTGAATGCTCACGTCAAACTGCTTGGCAAACCTGTGTGCATGCGTACGCACTTGTGAGCGCCCCGTCGGCTCGATCAAGCATGCAGGCAGGGGAGGCGATGATATTTGGTCGTACTTTGAAGCCTCTTGCAGCAGCAGCCGCAGGGGGAGGGAGATGGTTTGGTTATGCTCGGAAGTAATGAGAACATGGAGGCAGGCAGCCAGGTGAACAGCGGTCGTGAAAGAGCGCGGGTATGTGGCAAGCGGTGAGCACGGTTCATCCTCCGTGGGCGCTGCTGGATCCCAGCGGAGGCGAGGGCCATAGTTGCAGAGCTCTGTGGGTGGGGTCGCAATGGAAGAGGGAAGATCATGGGGCTGTTGGCCTTGGCGAACTTGAACGAGATGTTTGATGATGTGTATCAGTTTGGGTCGGGCCAGGTCTGGCGAAGTCTCGACCAGGAGGAAGGGGTAGTGCAGAGCATCGTAGGCTCCAAAAGGTTCCAGCCTGTTGAGGACGCCTCTGAGTTCTGCGTGCGTCAGCTTGGCAGCATCGGTCAAGTGGAGCTAGAGAACAAGATGTGAGCGAAACACCATCAGGATCATGAGTGACCCCGGGCAAGGGGAGGAGCAAGGGGGCAAGGGGAGGAGCAAGGGGCCGAGGGTTGGCAATGGACGTACAGCGAGGATGCGCTCACAGAGCGCGCGTTGAACGCTAGTGCTGATGGAATTGCGCACAGTCTGATTGGGTACAGGCATGCGGGTGAGTTGGACGGGTCCGGCCACGGCCGCGCCCAGTCGGCGTCGGGCAACCCACGCACCAGCTTGATGCGGCCATAAACGTCAGAGCGAGGGTCAATGAGGCCGGCCAGTGCAGTGGTGCCATCCATGTACCAGATGCGTTCCTGCATTTTTTTCGAGGTCTGCACCGACATGGAGAGGAATTGAGCTTGGGGGCGGGGCTCGAGGAGCATGGAGCAGGCTTGGGGGTGGATCGGGAGCCGGGGTGGAGATGCAAAGCAAGGGTGGAAGCCAGGATTTCAAAAACGCACCTGTTGGGCGTACCAACGGGAGATGAAGGCGGCAAATTCGTAGATGCTGCCGCCTCGGAGGCTGGTTTGAAGAGGCTGGAGCTGGACGCCCGGGGTGTCAGGCGTGACGGGGGCGGCAAGGGCAGTTTCGGCTTCGATGATGGGATTGGTGTCATCAGCTCGGAGGGAACCGCAAACGGTGACGAGTTCGCCGTTGAACACGGGCGGGCCCATGGCGTTGACCTCGACCAGGGGACGATTATCGAGGCTGGGGTGAAGATGTCCGCAGTTGCTGGGGAGTTCGAGCTGGAAGGTGAAGGCGCCGCGCGCCGTGTAACGATTGCTGCCATCGTTGGTATTTTGAACAATGCCACTGAGGACGATGGGCACGATGGCATCGGGATCTTCGATTCTCCTCACAGACAAGTGGGCGGCGCGTCTGCCCGTGTTCTCGGAGACTGTGAAGGGCGTGACCAACCAACGGCTGTGTGACCCCCGCATCAGCCGCGGCCAAAGGTGGCGTAAAGTCCCCATGGAGCAGACGCCCGGGATGTATGTGCACCAGCGAGGCAACGAATCCGCCGCACCGCACCGGCCGGCCGGCTACTTTGCTCGGTGGCTTGGTGTGTTCCCGAATCAGGTCGGGGAGCCAGCGAGAGATTGGCTCTTTTGGATCGGGGCAAAGCGTGCGCACGCTAAGTCATGACTGGCTGGTATCCCAAGCTGCCAGACGATCACCCGCACACTTGCAAGGGCCCTGTCCAAGCGAGCTTACCAACCACCCACACCGCCAGCACAAAATGCAAGGTCACAAGACCCATCAACGCCACCACCACAGCGCCGCCGCCGCCATCAGTCGAGCGACCTCGCGCTGTAAAATACCAGAAACGAGAGAGAGAGAGAGAGACAGAGACAGAGACAGAAACAAGAGGGAGAGACAGAAAGACGGAGAAACTTAGAGACAGAGGCATATAACGAGAGAAGCATAGAGGTGAATAAAAGGCATAAGCAGAGAAGGATTCATAATCATGGATAGAAAGCAGAGGCAGATACAACGGTCACGCTTCACGGCAGAGAACCAAATCCAAGAAGTTCTTTTGTTCACCTTGATCCTCACATCATGGGATGAAAAAAAAATGAGAAAATGTGCTTTTGGTCACACTTGACCCTTTGGGCGCTCTTCTTCTGATGGCTGCGGTCCATGCTATGGACAGAGCACGGTGTGGAGAGAGGAGAGCGGAGAGGAGTGGAAGTGGAGAGAGAGAGAGTAAAGAAGTAGAGTAAAGGAGTAGAGGAGAGAGGAGAGAGGAGAGTAGAGAGAGGAGAGTAGAGAGAGGAGAGTAGAGACGGGGGAGAGAAGAGAAGAGAGTAGAGACGGGGGAAGAGAGTAGAGAGGAGAGTAGAGAGGAGAAGCAGAGAAGGAGTAGAAAGGAAAGTGGAGAGAGAAGGGTAGAGGGAGTCGAGACAGTCGACCGTAGACAGTAGAAGAGTGTAAAGAAGAGAGAGGAGGGAGTATAGCAGAAAGGCGAGTGGAGAGTAAAGCAGAGAGCAGAGAGTCGAGATGAGAGAGTAGAGAGGAGAAAGGAGAGCTTCAACGCATTTAGGAGAGAGGGGAGAGGGGAGAGAGAGTAGTGAGTATAGCGGGTAGAAGAGAGACTAAAGCCGAGAGTCAAGCAAAGAGAGTAAGAGAGAGTCGTAGAGTAAAGAGAATACAGAAAGAAAAGCGAGAGTAGAGGCAGTAAAGAGTACAGCAGTGAGGCGAGTGGAGAGTAAAGCAGAAATCAGAGAGTAGAGCAAAGAGTAGAGCAAAGAGTAGAGCAAAGAAGAGCGAAGAGTAAAGAAAGTGGGGGGAGGAGAGCGGCATCGTAGTCGTACTTATTCATTCGAAGCCAAGAGAGAAGAGACTGGATGGCCACTGAATGACTGGAAGCTTGGGGCGGGACTTGTGACTCATCGACTATGCATCAACGTCTCGAACATGAGCCGAATCAAATCAGTTCCAATGTGGCAGGGGGACGAATGGTCGAGCATGAAGAGTTTCAGAGGTATAACGAAACGTAGCACGACTGTTTTTTTCCATTGCTTTCAGAGCTGCGTTCCTCTGCTGTCTGGTGTCTCAAGTAGAAAGAGCACTCGTTCAACAGGCTCGCAGTAGCAGTCCCACCACCACCACCACCACCACCACCACCACCAGCAGTCCCAACGCTTTAAGATATCACATTCAACAACAAAAAACCAGAAAATATTGACCCAAAATTACGAGAAACTACCATTAAATTACACCCCTTTAATTTCAAGTACAACTTCCGAGAGAGAAGAGAGAGAGAGAGAAGAGAGAGAGATTGAGAGAGCTTGAGAGAGAGAGCTTGAGAGAGAAAGCTTGAGAGAGAAAGCTTGAGAGAGAGAGCTTGCGAGAGAGAGAGAGAGCTTGAGGCTTGAGAGAGAGAGAGCTCGAGAGAGAGAGGGAGAGAGAGAGGCATTTGGCAGGCAGAGCCGGTCGTTTACCAGTGATACGGCGCATTGCGGCGATCGCACAGCGTGGGACTGTGACTGTCGGGCCGGTGCAAGGCTTTGTGGCGGGGTTGTAGTGGTATAGCGGGGGGTGGGGATAGGATCTAGGGTATACGACCGACTGCCCGAGCGAGAGCTGCGCGTCTGCCGCCCGTGGGTGCCGCAGACAACGGACGGACGAGATGGCGCTCCCGACACCACCGGCTATCGTCTATGACAAGTCCAAGTTTATCGAAACGGTACGATTGCCTGTCTGTGCGTGGGAACTCCTAAGGTTCAGTGGTGCTGCGTTGCAGCAGTTGTAGAGTGCGTGCCGCTCATCCCGACATGTGTGCGCAGTCGACGGGGAACAAGGTCTCGAGGACCAGCGTGTTGTGTGGCAGCCAGAATATTGTTCTTGTGGGCAAGGTACGAGTTTTATCTTTGCACGGCTCGTCGAGTTCCTCGCCATGGCTGACCGGGCGCCGGGTTGCTGTGCCTTACCCGACACTGGTCCTCCTCTTGCTGCTCTCTGCAAACCGTCTGTCTGGGTCAGACCGTCGTGGAGGAAGATTGTGTCATCCGAGGCGACCTGGCCAACATTCGCGTTCAACGGTTGGTCGATGCATCGCCAGCTCAGCTGCGTTACGGAGATGTTCTCCCCGAAGCAGGATCTTTGTTCGTCCTCACCGTTACTTTTGGCTGCCTTTGCCTTTTCAATGCAAGATCGTGCGTGTTCAAGAGCGGCACCGTGCTCCGGCCACCGGCCAAGATCCTTCCCAACAAGTCGGTGCCGCCTCTTGCTTGGCTTCTTCCGGATCTGGACCGGGTCGTGTGGGGACTACCTGCAAACTCATCCTTAAAACCAGGTCGTGTGGGGACCACCTTCAAACTCATCCTTAAAAATGTGTGCTTACTTGTCTAGGCCCCTGACCTTTCTGCCGCTGTCCATTGGGGAGAATGTGTTTGTCGATGAGGGGTCTTTGATCCAGGCGGCTTCCATCGGGAGTTTTGTCTGCATTGGCAAACGAGTGGTCATTGTGCGTGTGCCCGTGATTATTCCTTTGCTGCACCGCATCCCGTGAGCTTGCCTCTGCTCAGTGCTCACCAAGCCTGTCGCCTCCTCAAAGGGTGAAGCCTGCATTTTAAAGGACTGCTGCAAGATCGAAGACGACTGCGTCTTGCCGCCCGGCACCGTCGTACCACCATACACCATCTACGGCGGTTCGCCTGGTCGTCAGATTGGCATGCTGCCAGAGTGCTCTCGTGATCTCATCCGCGAGGTCATCCGGTAGGCTGCTTCTGCTTCACACCCGCCTTGCTTCAGCCAAGGCCCTTCAGTGTTGTTTCAAAGACAGAATTGTGTTTGGCCGTACTCACGCATCCATCAATGGTCTACTTGATATGCGACAGGCAATACTACAACATGTTTCAAGTCCGAGATTGATAGATTGTGATCAACAATCGGCCTCGAGACACACTCTTTTTCTATTTGGTTTTCAACCATGCTCCTGCGCCCTCCTCTCCTGGAAAGAGCAACGTCATAACAATTTTGGTTAGACTTCGCCTGGCTCAAGAAGCAGCAGGCGGCTTTGACTCTGGCCGCCCCCTGCCGAGGAAGGCGCTAGGTTGATGGACGTGACTGCTCGCACGTGTGGAAAGAGCTTGCGGCATGCTGGGCTCATCCTATCACACGGGGCCCAAGCATCGGCCGTACGATACATTTGAGTGTGTGTGTGTGTGTGATTGTGAGTTGATGTGGTATGCAGTGGGGCGTGTGGTGGCCCCCCATAATCGAAATTGCAGCAGCGCATGCCAGGGGGTGGAGGCACGAGCAAAGGACAGAGGAAAGCGTACCAGCATTGCTCTGGTTCATGATGGTTGAGGGGTAGATGGAGGAGGCAGAGGGCAATCGTGTTGCTTTTAAGCTCTTTGAGTGCTGCCTTGGTGTACCTGCGAAGGTTAGCACCGGCGAGGCGAAATCAGCAGCGACCCGGCGCACGCCCACGTCAAGTCAGCAACGAGACAGACAGAAAGAAAGTCAAGTGCCTAGTGTGCTTGCTTTTCTCAAGAGCCAAGTCAGAGCCAAGGCAGCCTGGCATTGTCGTGTCTGGTTTGACTCACCCATTGGAGGCGGCCACGACCCCAAGAAGCTTGACGTTGGTCCTGAGGGAAGCCTGGACTGCCATCATTCCCATGATTTCCCGCACTTGCTCTGGTGCCAAGGGTTTGGCAAAATGCTTGCACTATTGGCAGAGGAGGTTTCAAAGCCCCGGGTCAAGTTAATGTGCTTCTGGTTTTTTTGAGGTTTGGGTGGCGGGGGGGCAAGGAGGAGCTTCGCACCTGGACAATGACTTCAGCTCCGTGGCGGCGCCAGACGGCTGCAGCAGGAGCAGCAGGCATGTCAGCTTGAAAGGGGTCAGATCAGGCCCTGGCCACGCCAGTACTGGGCTCGGAGCGTACCGTGCAGATCAATGCCTCGGTCACCGGCCCCGCCAATGCGCTCAAAATCGAGCTGAAAGAGGGGCTGCAAGCACGCTTGGACATGTTCCTCGTAGATTCGCCCCCGCTCCGTGGTGCTCATGTTGGTTCGACCACCCACCAATTCCTCTCGCGCCAGACCCAAGTCCCTGTCCGCGGGTCCTTGGTCCGAGTCGTCATCCGAGGGCCACCCAGATGCCTTGCAGCGAAGCGCCGGCCCCCCCTGCCGCGCCACCAACGCAGCCTCTCCTCGTCCGTGCAGCCCCCGCCGCAGCCCCCAACCCAATCGCTGCAGCCGCCACATCCTCCCCTCTATCCAAAAGTCCCTCTCCACCTCACCCCACCTCCCTTCACTCACTCGCTCACGGTCAATCCGAGCCAGAGCGCCCTCGACGCCCGTCTGCTAAAACTCCTACCACCGTGAATAAAAAAAAAATTTAAAAAACTGTTTTGATGTTGATTCGCGAAAGAGAGAGTTTGAGAGAGAGAGAGAGTGAGAGAGAGTGAGAGAGAGAGAGTGAGAGAGAGAGAGTTAGAGAGAGAGAGTTTGAGAGAGAGAGAGAGTGAGAGAGAGAGTTTGAGAGTGAGAGTTTGAGAGAGAGAGAGAGAGAGTGAGAGTGTGTGTGGTGTGAGAGAGTTTGAGAGTTTGGGAGAGAGAGTTTGAGAGAACACATTGATAGTGATGTCTGGCATATCGACTAGTTTTTTAGGGTGTATTCTCTTAAACGCACATCGATGTCTTGCTCTTCTCTGAAATCTAGTTGATGTACAAGAACACCTTGATCGCTCCAAAGACCATCCCTCTCACCAAAACACCCGTGATCCACTACACCTCTCACCATAACACCTTCAAAGCACCCACCTCTCTCTGCCCATTTGCTCTGACATTTGAATGCGGATCATCTGACATCTGACATCTTACATCACAGCAGCAGCAGCAGCACGATGCCGGCGACCATGACTCCGATGGCGGCGGCGAACGTGCCCGCGCGCGGTGCGCAGACGGGTGCAAAGTCGGTTGAATCGGAGGTGAAGCAGGGGGTGGAGGGGGTGGAAACGGTGGCGGAGACGGTGGTGGAGACGGTGGTGGAGGAGGGGGAGGCGCCCAATTTGCTCTCAGTCAAGCCGCAGGTGAAGGCCGTCGTGCATCGTGATGTGGGTTTGGCCGCGTGTTTGGCGGAGACGGGCCCGGTGCAGGTGGCGGGCCAGCCCCTGCCCAATTCATTGGGGGCGGTGCAGTTTCCACACTTGCTGGCACCGGCCGAGTCGGCCGAGCTGCGCAAGCGCGTTTCGGCCCTTGAGTACTCGTTTTGGAGCAGCAACCCGGATGACCGGGATTTTCGCAACGCCGTCACCGTCGAGGTGCATGATCAGGGCCTGGCCGCCGCCCTATGGGAACGTATCCGTCCGCATGTTCCTGCCCGCTTTGAGATGAAGGAGGACGACGAGTGGTATGAGCGAGGTGCGTGCCCAAAGCTGCTTTGCTCATCAGCGGCTCGCCATTGGGCCCGTTGAACCCTGCCCGCCTGGCTCACCCATTCTTGATGCTGCTTTTGGCCGGCCTGCGACCTGACTGCATCAGGGACCGAGGGCGAGTGGGTCGCTTCGGGCATCAACGAGCATCTGCTCTTTGCTCACTACAGCGAAGGCGGCCACTTTAGCCCCCACACGGATGGTTACACCATTGTCGACTTTAATCACCGCAGCCTCTACACTGTCATTGTCTACCTCAATGACTGTGGCGCCGGCGGTACGGCTAGCCTCATCCCCCACACGTGCCAAGTCTGGCTCAAGAAAAAAACAAACAAAAAAAATTAGCCAGCTTGCTGTTTCAAATTCATCCGGTGGCATGCGCTTTCGTCGGCTCATGTTCTCCTCTATTCCTCCGCTTCTTCTGCTGCTCTTTGGGATGGCAGGTGCAACACTCTTGTACCCACCCGAGACGGATGTGAGCTTTGTGCGCGATGAGTTTCAGCGCTTTCGCTGGACCATTCAACCCACCCACCGCGTTGCGTGTGAAGCCGGATCAGGTACTTCCCATAGTACCCCTCTGTGCCCCCTCTCCTGACCAGACATCACATGTGTGCCTCCCTCACACCACGCTGCCGCAGGCCTCGTCTTCTTTCAAACCTTGCCCCATGAAGGCGAGCCGGTCGGTCCAGGTACCTTCAAGACAATCATTCGCACCGATGTCATGTACCGTCGCGTACCTCCACGTTGTGATGACGATGCGGTAAGGTCTGGTATGGGCAGCACTCCCCTCAGCTTGAAATCTGCAAGCTCGCCGCTTTTTTTTTTTTTTTGACCGGGTGCCTTGGATGCCAATGCTCGCGTAGGGTCGTTTGGCATATAGTCTGTACCGCGAGGCCGAGCTGCTCGAGGCTGATGGGCATGCTCCCGAGGCAGGTCAAAAGTTTCGCCGCGCCGTCAAGCTCTGCCCAGAGTTTGCGGACCTGATGGGCCTTTGATCAATCTACGCTGGGTCTTTTGCTGTTTCCGCTGCGCGGACACCCTGCCACTCGAAGACATTGCTCTTGATGGTTCTGATCTTTTTGTCCCGCCTCTCCGTCTTGTTGTTGCTATTGCCGGTCCTCTTCTTGTATCAAATGCATCAATTGAATGTTGCGCAGGCGTCTGAAAACAAATCTTTTACAATTCACGCACGAGAAGCGGCACTGCCGCACAAGATCTCCGCCTTGCACCCGTTTCCGAACCATGTTCAACTCGCCAACTCGGCTTGATTCGTCTTTGTACATGTGAACATTGGACGTCATTCCAGACGGGGCAGACGTTGGTCTTTACGATGGGGCCTTTGCTCAAGGTCTCAATCATCCCATTATCCGCACCAGCGACTTGGGCGTCACCCGTGCTCACGAGAAAAGGCGGGTCACCGTGCCCACGGCTTTGGTTCGACCTTCGCGAAAGATGAGCCGATCACCTTCCCGCAGGTATTCGGGGTTGCGCACAAAGCGGAAGCGCGCAGTCGTCTTGTCCCCAGTTCGAATGTGCAGCTTGTCCATGGAAATGATGCTGGCGGTCTGGCGCACGCTACCACAGTGCACGACGGCTTCATACTTGACGGAGATGGTGGTCGGATGATGCAGGACCAACAGCTCGCCTTCAAACTCCCAAGTAGCCACGGGCTCCACTTCGGGTGCCACCATGACCATGCCCTTGCGGATGAACGAGCGGGGCACCTTCTTGAGGGCAAAGGAGCACGTCTGAGAGCTGCGCACCTCCTAACACGTCCGAGCGAGATAGACCAAACCGGAGGCGAGGCGGAGGTGAGGGTGTAAGAGAGCATTGAGCGGTGCACGGTCTGCAAACAGCCAGACGTAAAATGAACAAGCAAAGCAAAATGCGACAGCGATCAGACCTTGGTGGGGGTGCGACGGCGATGAATGCCTTTGATGACCACGGGACGAAAGGTGCCCAGCGAGTCGGGTCCCAAAAGCAGCGTGTCGTTGACACGCACGGTGCCGCGCAGATTGGTGCCCGATACGACCGTGCCCACGCCCTGAGGAAGCACGGGGATAGAAATGAGACCGTGCGGCGTCCACGGGCAAGGCCAAGGCATTGAGTAGAGGCACGTCGATGCGGCCAAGGGGGGTTTTGGCGCGGTCAACAAGGAGCCGCTTGACAACGCAACGCCTGAAAAATGTACAACGGGCTTACGGGGACGCTAAAGGTGTCGTCGATTTGAAACTCGGCGGGGGCAGCGTCGGTCTTGGGCGAGTGGGAGTTGAGTAGGTTCATAAAGAGCTTGAGCAGATCCAGGTTCTCCCCCGTGACGTTGGACACTTGGAAGATGGGGCACACCCTAAGCCAAGAAAAAAAGGGGCATCAGCTTTCGTGGACAAGCTGCCATGGCCACACCATCGAGGCAAGCCCTCGAGGAAGCCCGCGACAGCACACGGACCGCTCAGAGATGAAGTTAGTGGCAGCGACGACCACATCATCGACGTTGGAAACCATCAGGGGAATCTTGCGGCAGCCCGGTGACTTTAAAATCTTTTGCAGAAGCTTGAGCGTCGCATCAAGGACGTTGGGGGGGCACATGTCAATCTTGGTGACGACCACATAGACGGGCACGTTGAGCGCCAGCGCCAGGCCCAAGTGCTCTACTCGAATCCAGCGTTGTTTCGTGAGGGAAACGAAACCTTTTGATTTGATGGCGAGGGTAGGCGCGTCCTGAGCAGAGGACGGCGGTCGAGGGTACCTTTGGTCATGCCGACAATGCCAGCGTTGGAGCCAATCATGAGCATGGCAAAGTGGGGCACGTGACCCGTCAGGCCAAAGACGGTGGTCTTGAGGTAGCGTTCGTGGCCAGCCAGATCGATAAAGGTGACGACCTTGGCAGCGTCGGTGCACACTTGCACCCAGTCAATCTTGCCATCGTGGCCGGGGCGGTTGACCACTTGGCCCCGGGCATCAAACCCCAAAATGTCATGCGCCACGCTCGAGGTGCGACCCGAGTCGATCTACGCAAGAAGAAGAACAAGAAGAAGAAGAAAAAGTTTTATGAGTGGGTGGCCTTGGAAAAGCTGTAGGAAGAAAGAATATAGGAGTGGGTGCGCAGACCTCGTGCTGGTGACGGAAAAGCTTTTGACGAGAGCGACCACGGCCATTGTCAAGCACGTCATGCGTCAAAACGCCCAAGAGGGTACTGTTCAAGAGCGGGATCACACATGAGCGAGAGATGAGATGACATGCGG